GTCTTTGTTGATGTTTTGATCTATATTTCAATATTTGAAGTTATTGGTAATCTTGTCTTTGTTGTTGTTTTGATCTATATTTCAGTATTTGAAGTTATTGGTAATCTTGTCTTGTTTGTTGTTTTAATCTATATTTCAGTAATTGAGGTTATTGGTAATCTTGTCTTTGTTGATGTTTTGATCTATATTTCAGTATTTGAAGTTATTGGTAATCTTATCTTTGTTGATGTTTTGATCTATATTTCAATATTTGAAGTTATTGGTAATCTTGTCTTTGTTGATGTTTTAATCTATATATCAATAATTGAGGTTATTGGTAATCTTGTCTTTGTTGATGTTTTGATCTATATTTCACTATTTGAAGTTATTGGTAATCTTGTCTTTGTTGTTGTTTTGATCTATATTTCAGTATTTGAAGTTATTGGTAATCTTGTCTTGTTTGTTGTTTTAATCTATATTTTAGTTTTTGAAGTTATTGGTAATCTTGTCTTTGTTGATGTTTTGATCTATATTTCAATATTTGAAGTTATTTGTAATCTTGTCTTTGTTGTTGTTTTGATCTATATTTCAGTATTTGAAGTTATTGGTAATCTTGTCTTGTTTGTTGTTTTAATCTATATTTCAGTATTTGAAGTTATTGGTAATCTTGTCTTTGTTGATGTTTTGATCTATATTTCAATATGTGAAGTTATTGGTAATCTTGTCTTTGTTGTTGTTTTGATCTATATTTTAGTAATTGAGGTTATTGGTAACCTTGTCTTTGTTGATGTTTTGATCTATATTTCAGTATTTGAAGTTATTGGTAATCTTGTCTTTGTTGATGTTTTGATCTATATTTCAGTAAGTGAGGTTATTGGTAACCTTGTCTTTGTTGATGTTTTGATCTATATTTCAGTATTTGAAGTTATTTGTAATCTTGTCTTGGTTGTTGTTTTGATCTATATTTCACTATTTGAAGTTATTTGTAATCTTGTCTTTGTTGATGTTTTGATCTATATTTCAATATTTGAAGTTATTTGTAATCTTGTCTTTGTTGGTGTTTTAATCTATATTTCAGTATTTGAAGTTATTGGTAACCTGGTTTTTGTTGATGTTTTGATCTATACTTCACTATTTGAAGTTATTTGTAATCTTGTCTTGGTTGTTGTTTTGATCTATATTTCACTATTTGAAGTTATTTGTAATCTTGTCTTGGTTGTTGTTTTGATCTATATTTCACTATTTGAAGTTATTTGTAATCTTGTCTTTGTTGATGTTTTGATCTATATTTCACTATTTGAAGTTATTTGTAATCTTGTCTTTGTTGATGTTTTAATCTATATTTCACTATTTGAAGTTATTTGTAATCTTGTCTTTGTTGATGTTTTGATCTATATTTCAGTATTTGAAGTTATTGGTAATCTTGTCTTTGTTGTTGTTTTAATCTATATTTCAGTATTTGAAGTTATTGGTAATCTTATCTTTGTTGATGTTTTGATCTATATTTCAGTATTTGAAGTTATTGGTAATCTTGTCTTGGTTGTTGTTTTAATCTATATTTCAGTATTTGAAGTTATTGGTAATCTTGTCTTTGTTGATGTTTTGATCTATATTTCAGTATTTGATGTTATTGGTAATCTTGTCTCGGTTGTTGTTTTAATCTATATTTCAGTATTTGAAGTAATTGGCAATCTTATCTTTGTTGATGTTTTGATCTATATTTCAGTATTTGAAGTTTACTTATTGGTAATCTTGTCTTGGTTGTTGTTTTAATCTATATTTCAGTATTTGAAGTTATTGGTAATCTTGTCTTTGTTGTTGTTTTGATCTATATTTCAGTATTTGAAGTTATTGGTAATCTTGTCTTGTTTGTTGTTTTAATCTATATTTTAGTATTTGAAGTTATTGGTAATCTTGTCTTTGTTGATGTTTTGATCTATATTTCAGTAATTGAGGTTATTGGTAATATTGTCTTTGTTGTTGTTTTGATCTATACTTCACTATTTGAAGTTATTGGTAATCTTGTCTTGTTTGTTGTTTTAATCTATATTTTAGTATTTGAAGTTATTGGTTATCTTGTCTTGTTTGTTGTTTTAATCTATATTTCACTATTTGAAGTTATTGCTAATCTTGTCTTGTTTGTTGTTTTAATCTATATTTCAGTAATTGAGGTTATTGGTAATCTTGTCTTTGTTGATGTTTTAATCTATATTTCAATATTTGAAGTTATTGGTAACCTTGTCTTTGTTGATGTTTTGATCTATATTTCAGTAATTGAGGTTATTGGTAACCTTGTCTTTGTTGATGTTTTGATCTATATTTCAATATTTGAAGTTATTGGTAATCTTGTCTTTGTTGTTGTTTTGATCTATATTTCAGTATTTGAAGTTATTGATAATCTTGTCTTGTTTGTTGTTTTAATCTATATTTCAGTAATTGAGGTTATTGGTAATCTTGTCTTTGTTGATGTTTTGATCTATATTTCAATATTTGAAGTTATTGGTAATCTTGTCTTTGTTGTTGTTTTGATCTATATTTCAGTAATTGAGGTTATTGGTAATCTTGTCTTTGTTGATGTTTTGATCTATATTTCAGTATTTGAAGATATTGGTAATCTTATCTTTGTTGATGTTTTGATCTATATTTCAATATTTGAAGTTATTGGTAATCTTGTCTTTGTTGATGTTTTAATCTATATTTCAGTAATTGAGGTTATTGGTAATCTTGTCTTTGTTGATGTTTTGATCTATATTTCACTATTTGAAGTTATTGGTTATCTTGTCTTTGTTGATGTTTTGATCTATATTTCAATATTTGAAGTTATTGGTAATCTTGTCTTTGTTGTTGTTTTGATCTATATTTCAGTATTTGAAGTTATTGGTAATCTTGTCTTGTTTGTTGTTTTAATCTATATTTTAGTATTTGAAGTTATTGGTAATCTTGTCTTTGTTGATGTTTTGATCTATATTTCAATATTTGAAGTTATTTGTAATCTTGTCTTTGTTGTTGTTTTGATCTATATTTCAGTATTTGAAGTTATTGGTAATCTTGTCTTGTTTGTTGTTTTAATCTATTTTTCAGTATTTGAAGTTATTGGTAATCTTGTCTTTGTTGATGTTTGGATCTATATTTCAATATTTGAAGTTATTGGTAATCTTGTCTTTGTTGTTGTTTTGATCTATATTTCAGTAATTGAAGTTATTTGTAACCTGGTCTTTGTTGATGTTTTGATCTATATTTCAGTTTTTGAAGTTATTGGTAATCTTGTCTTTGTTGATGTTTTGATCTATATTTCAGTAATTGAGGTTATTGGTAACCTTGTCTTTGTTGATGTTTTGATCTATATTTCAGTATTTGAAGTTATTGGTAATCTTGTCTTTGTTGATGTTTTGATCTATATTTCAGTAACTGAGGTTATTGGTAACCTTGTCTTTGTTGATGTTTTGATCTATATTTCAGTATTTGAAGTTATTGGTAATCTTATCTTTGTTGATGTTTTGATCTATATTTTAGTAATTGAAGTTATTGGTAATCTTGCCTTTGTTGATGTTTTGATCTATATTTTAGTAATTGAGGTTATTGGTAACCTGGTTTTTGTTGATGTTTTGATCTATACTTCACTATTTGAAGTTATTGGTAATCTTGTCTTTGTTGATGTTTTGATCTATATTTCAGTATTTGAAGTTATTGGTAATCTTGTCTTTGTTGATGTTTTGATCTATATTTCAGTATTTGAAGTTATTGGTAATATTGTCTTTGTTGTTGTTTTGATCTATACTTCACTATTTGAAGTTATTGGTAATCTTGTCTTTGTTGATGTTTTGATCTATATTTCAGTAATCTTGTCTTTGTTGGTGTTTTGATCTATATTTCAGTAATCTTGTCTTTGTTGATGTTTTGATCTATATTTCAGTATTTGAAGTTATTGGTAATCTTGTCTTTGTTGATGTTCTGATCTATATTTCAGTAATCTTGTCTTTGTTGGTGTTTTGATCTATATTTCAGTAATCTTGTCTTTGTTGATGTTTTGATCTATATTTCAGTATTTGAAATTATTGGTAATCTTGTCTTTGTTGATGTTTTGATCTATATTTCAGTATTTGAAGTTATTGGTAATCTTGTCTTAGTTGATGTTTTGATCTATATTTCAGTATTTGAAGTTATTGGTAATCTTGTCTTTGTTGATGTTCTGATCTATATTTCAGTAATCTTGTCTTTGTTGGTGTTTTGATCTATATTTCAGTAATCTTGTCTTTGTTGATGTTTTGATCTATATTTCAGTATTTGAAGTTATTGGTAATCTTGTCTTTGTTGATGTTTTGATCTATATTTCAATATTTGAAGTTATTTGTAATCTTGTCTTTGTTGGTGTTTTGATCTATATTTCAGTAATCTTGTCTTTGTTGGTGTTTTGATTTATATTTCAGTAATCTTGTCTTTGTTGATATTTTTATCTATATTTCAGTATTTGAAGTTATTGGTAACAATGCTGATCTGTATGATTCAGTGGTGCTTACCATGTTCCAAGTGGTTTTATGTCAGACCTTTTATAGCTGACTGTACCAAATGCATTTTACTAATTGTTGAAGAATGTACAGTGACCCATAATTTTTCAATTTTTGCCATGTAATATTTGGTATGGCTTTATAAATATTTCAATTTAAAACCTTTTGAAGCATGTAATGTGTAACAATTGGGTTATCTTATTATTTTAAATGATGTAGAAGAAACACAACATTATTTAATGAACTGCAAAGTCATTAAACCCAGGGATAAAATTAAACCCAGTTTTTGGTGGGGTTCGTGTTGCTTAGTCTTTAGTTTTCTATGTTGTGTCATCTGTACTATTATTTGTCTGTTTGTCTTTTTGTTTTTGGCCATGGCGTTGTCAGTTTGTTTTCGATCTATGAGTTTGACTGTCCCTCTGGTATCTTTCGTCCCTCTTTTAAACCTAATCATCCTGCTATAATTGGCTACAGAAACTACTACCTCTTTTGATAGGCATAATAACAATAACAAAAGAAAGTTATGCAATTTTATTTTTTTGAAGTTTCATTGTCCACTTGCACATACATGTACAACTTCTTTGTTATAAAAAGTAAACAACACAAGCTGTTAACACAGACCCAAAGCTATCTAGCATTATAATTCATTCATAAAATGACAGAGAGATTCAATAAAGGGAGGTAATTACAGTACATGTTATATCACAGGTTTTAATGGTTCATTTACTGACAACATATACCCTTACAACTTCAAATAATACAGATATGCATCACTTGGCAATCATTTTATGTAAAAGGCCAACAAAAATATGTGTGTGTTTCCTGTCTCCCACCTGACCCTTAACCATTTACTGGTAGTTGCCTTGCAAAAAAAACAAATGAAAAATTTAAGAAATAATTTTTTGTGTCAATAGAATCTGATTTCCATTGACCATGTAGTCCAATTTGTAATAAAATTAACCCAAATCTTAGTAAAAGCTGTCAAACATTAAAAATTCTTAAAGTTCTATTGAACAGATGCAAATTAAATGGAGTATAGTGTAAATTTGGATCAGACTTGGAGGAAACATTTTTTAAGGATTTTTTTAATATGAAACTAACCTTCCAAACCTTACTTTTGTATGAAGGGAAACAGGAAATTCACATATATTTTTTTGGCCAAACTATCCAAAGCCAGAAGCAAATCAGAAAATCTAACAACTGAAGAATGGATTTACTAATGTACAACTTTAAATTATTGACCTAATGACAATACAAAAGTTGAGTTATGAATAGCCATTAATATTTACTTCACCTAAACATTTAACCAGTTATTTTAATGTTGAATGACAATGTTGTGATGTTGTGGTAAAACTTGAGCAAAGTACAGTCAAACCTGTTTACAAAGGTAATATTGGGACCAGACATTTCTGACCTTATAACAATGTCCTTTAAATTGAGGTTTAAAATGTATATATATTAATACATTGGGACAATAAGAGGCAGATTTTAATAAAGTTGACTTAAATAGCAGGTTTGACTTATTAATTTAATCAGTGAATGATGTTTATCTAACAAGGGTGCTGTTGCCAGAATGTTCACAATGATCTATAAGTTTAATGTAAGGACACATCACTCCAGTTGAGGAGCTTCATGATCTGCTAAAGAGTCAAATTTGATCTTATCTTAACATTGTTGTCACTACTTATTTAAGGCTTTAAACACATATAAAATGTGTTAGTATCTGAAAAAATATAAAAGACCAGTGATTTGTTTAACAACATCTATACTTGCTAACATGTAAAAGTACTCTGGTGTGTCTTGAGCCAACATTTACTATGCCAGTATAGGGTCAGTTCATAATGTAATTTTTAAGCTACTGAAGTCTTCTTTGATCATTTTATATTTTGTGCAGTACCAAAAAGAAAACAGTCTGTTTTGATTATTTTTTTACATTATTACTGGTATTGTGATATAAAATCATTGTAGGATAGTTAAGGTCTAATATATCATTTGAATACTAAATAATTTGAAATATTCTTTCAGTTAATGAATGTTTCCAATAGCTGAAACAACTGATGAGAATATTGGGATCCATTTGTAGGTTATGCTTGTTGACGAGTTACAGTTTTCATATTAACAATAAAAATATTCAGGTTATCTCAGATCTTTATTTGAGAAATTGGGATTCTGAAATGCTAGAAAAAAATGTGACACACAAGTTAACAATTATGTTGAACAATGAAAGTATTATAAGGAAATGTATTGATATTTAAATTCATAAAAATTCTTTAATACAAATTACTTCATAAAATTATAATATCAGTTAAAATTTATAAATACTAAATAAAATGTACAATAAAAACCATCACTGTAAGGGTACATGTGTCAACGGTATTGTTGAGAGTAGAGATGAAACTCTTGCCATACTTTCACACACATATATACACTAATTACATGATCATTGCACTAGTTCTGGGACAAACTGTATGTATAAATGCAGTCGTACATGTGTGTAACTGGCCTCCTATATCAAAGATGAAGTTATAAATGCAGAGGATGATTATATCTGGTTTAAATTCAATTCTAATACTTTGTATGTTAGAATTTGTATACTTGAGAGAATATGCATGGACATATATATTCTGTGTACCAAATACATAAGCATTTCATTTAAGGCCTAGGGTATATTTTTTCATTAATTTATTCCATATAATCATTTCTGCAAGATATAAATTGTATGACAATTGTAAAGTGTGTTTCTGAAAAGAGAGTACTCATATCATGTGACAGGAGTGTCCAAATGATATAATTGGGTATCTTGATCATTCCTTTTTTACAGGTGAAATCATGACCATTTTAAAGTGGAAGAAAAGTATGTAAAGGGAGATAACTAATTAAAATCACTGGAACGTTTGTGTTAAAACATTTTCCTTAATATATTGTAAGCTTCTTATTAACACAGATTAAATCTGTTTCATTTTAATGCTTAAAAAATATTAATGAAACAAACTATTACAAACACTTTATTGACTTAATGGGTTTTCTCCCTTAACTATCTAAGCAACTATTACAAGAAATCTATTATCTTTCATTGTATTGTAGACTCTGAAGTAAGCAATTATGTCTTAATATGGAAACAACAAAAACTTTGATGATTCAGTGAAAATTAGGAAAAAACCCTTAAAATTAGATGCAAAGCTCAGTAAATAAAGTTCTCTTGTGTTGTACTCCTTATGACAGAAACAAACTTCACCTATTTTTACAATAATACCATGACAAGAGTAAAAATAAATTTCATGGCAACCGTATAAATAATTCCACACGTGTAATATGAGATATGATGGTGAAGCCGACAACAATAACATTAACAATAAGCCGTGATATAAACAACTACTGATTGTAGAGCCGAATGACAGCAATAAATACTTAACAAATAATTGGTTTTATAAAAAAAAACAAAGCTTTTTTGGCATTATAGCAAAACATTTGATAGCTTTGGCAAGATCCAAGTCTTTACACAGGAGACAAGCTATGTACAATAAATTATATATACAGAAATTGTTATATACGTTTATATATACACTAATGCCAATACTTATGTCTACAATTAATAAAATTATATTATATTTTACAAAATAAAATATCACAAATGAAGGCAGTTACCATAAGTAAATGGTTGTAGAATGCTCCAAACAGACACATACACACAGAATATAGCAATAGTGTATCAAAGTCTACACATCAAACCAATTTGACTTTTCAAAAACTAAAGGATTATGGGTAATTTCATTGTTTTCGCCCAAAATGAAAATAAGGTCACGTCATTATTTGAATTTCCTTTGTTTAGGATGTTGTTAGCCAATCAGTTTAATGACATTACCCAGAATGCATTATTTTCTGAAAAGGCAAATTGTAGTACACTTTATCACAAGGAAGCCAAATTTGTATTTCTTGTCCAATGGAATTCTTCAATACTGAATTATCAAATCACAGTATGTCAAAACATGATTTTATATAAATAAAAGGAGATGAACTTTTATAAACAGGAAAGCCTTAATTGGTGCACATTTAATTTTTTTTAAATCATTTAAATTTGAACTATTTTTGAAATAACCTCGAACCTAATTATCATTCTATTACATTTCCTTGGAAATTCAACAGAAAAATATTAACAATGTTGACTAGAGAATGAAACAAAACAAACCCACACTGAGGTGAATTTTTTTAATCAAGAAAAACAGGATTCATACAGAGTCCTAAAAATACAGAATTTATAACAGTAAATTCTGAGGCTATACAAAAAAGCTTTCCTAGATTATCTGATATCATTTTTAAACAGTGCCAGCAAGATGTTTTTTTTTTTAATATTTTCAATTTTTTTTTATGTTTGCATATTTTTAAACTTTAATTACCAAACGCTACCATTTATAATAGGGTACGGAAGGACTTTTTATCAGCTTTTCTGTAACCAATATCCAATGTGACCTTTCACCGTCTAGTCAAAAACGACTAGCAGTGGCAAACACGAAATATAAGAATGACACGTATATGTGTAAACTTGAAGAAATTTTAAAAAAAAATCTAGTTCTTTCCAACTGTAGCAATTTCAAAATCACTAACCACTGGCACAATCTATAATGAGTATATAGAAAGAAATAAATGCTGGAGTGTGTTGGGATGAAATTTTAAGAATTTATTCAATCATTTAATGATGAAAGTTACAACAGTAACACAAAGTGCACAATTTTTGATTTTTTGAACAATTAGTACAGATACTGATTTTTAAATAATCTGACATGCCATTTTACACCTGATTTTATAATATTTATTTAATACATTAACACAAATCAGTTATCACTTCAAATAAACCAAACACAAATTTCACATCCAGATCTGACATTTAATAATTTTTGTTCGGATTGCTTAGAAAACCCTCAGTGACAGAAGGATCTCAATGTTGAGAACATAAATTCCTGAGAAAAAAATAAAGAAAAAAAAACACACGACAAACTGATTTGATCAAACACACATTCAGTTATTGCATTGCTTCAGCAGATAACCTCCACTTGAAAGAAGCAGCCATTTAAAGCAAATACCACAATATGGCAGTTTGGATTTCATAGTCGTGAACATTCAAATTCAGCATCGTTATCTGTCCTTGGATCATCTGATGTACTGCCTCCAGGTGGCGTACCAATACCACTGCTATTGGAGGAAGTAAATGAAAGACGTGTACCGGCAATTTCATAGCAATCCTGCAAAAAAAGTAAACAAATTTTGTTATTAAGTTGTTCTCTTTCTTTTAAAAATGTAAATCATTTCAGAAAAAAATTATTAATATGTCTTATCATACCTTCTCCTTTCTAAAATGAAACAGTTAAATAGGCTACACTACATTATATTCACCCACAATTTTCATGTGGGCTTTAATATTTTCAATTAACAATATTTTGAAAACACTCTAGACAGTCTAATTAAAGTTGAAAACATACATTAGAACTTTTTTTTATCATATACAGGCTTTTTACAATTTCATCATCAGTGAAATTGTGGCCTTCATTTATAATGACATTGTAAAGAAAATTTCTTCTCTCTTTTGAAATAAACATGAATATTCTTTATTATTTAGTATTTAGTTCAGAATTGAAAAATAAAATGTTTTTCCATAGATAATCTGCACACTCTTATGAAAGTATTATCGATAAGTCAGTCGTCCTTTACTCTGTCAACATTTCCCCTTTATGATAACATTGAAAATGCCAGAAAATATTTGGTCAACTGCGAGTTTCATCTGATACAAATTCATATGAAAGACAAAATTAATTTTTATGGTTGGTGTTCAAGATTAACATTTATGGATATTTTTAGGGATGGAGTTGATTACTCAACTAACAAGGTCAGAATATCAAAAAATAATTATTCAAAAGATTATTTATAAATGATGATGGATGGCTGCTTAACGTCCAGTGGCAAATTAATAAGCATATTCAGGACAAGAACATGTTAATGTAAAATGAATATTAAACCTGCTTCGTACTAGACCGACATGCTGAGCCGGATTTTTAACGTGCTAGTTCACAAGGTAACAGTCCGCAGCAAGACATGTCACATTACCCGTACACATTATTCTGACACAACCTCCCCCACTCGAGGTGAACACGCTACTACGAGACCACTGAGGCGGTTGATTATTTATAATATTCATTTTTAAATCTTACATCATGATTATAAAGTATTCAGCAAAGAAGCAAGTTATAGCTAAATCAGCTAGAAGATAGTGATTTTGAAAACAAATTTACAAAAATATATGAAAGAACTTGGTTTCCTTTGTACTAAAGGATAAGATAAGATTTTAATCCCCGTTTGAGCCCTGTAACATTACAAACCAAATATGATCACATACAACTATACAAGCAATCAAGACTGTTGTTTACATTTCTGTATGGTTAATACAGAAATTCTTAATTTCACTAGGTGGAAGAAGGAAGCTATGGTTAAAACCTTTGACAAAGTTGTTTAAGGTAGAAAAGCCATGCAGAGTGGATCAGTTATTTTTGTTTGTATTTGACTTTAAAAAGCTGATGTTACATTTAAAATAAAATGACAGAAAGTTTGTTTTTTCTTTTTCAATTCAGAAGTCCACATATCATACAAAGTAATATTTATTGTTCTACAATGGAGAATGAAGACTTTGTATCTGTCTTATTCTTTCCACTATTTATGTTTAAAAACAGCCTGGTATTTGGCTTATTTTATTGACTGTATTGAACCAATCAAAACCTGTCATTTTTCTTAAATAGAGATGAATTACTTAACTTATAGGTCCATATTTCAATATAAACTGAAAAATCAGAACATTCATAATAAACTGCTTCGCTGAGCGCAGCTGGATACGCCCGCAGAGGTCCAACCCTGAACGGTTGGGGCAAAAATGGACACAATATTCAAACTTGATACAGGTCTGAATTTGGATTGTAATTAAATATTTGACATATTACAGGTTTCTGAATAAATGTAGTCAAAGAACTTGAAATTGGTTATATGAATTGAATTTATATTCAATTAAAGATTTCTTGCTGTTGTGCAATACACTGTGCTGTTGCGCAATACTTAGTAAATCTGTTGTCAGACTATAAACAAATAAAGTTCAATTAATTCTCAATGTCATATTAGAAATTTATGAAAATCAAAAGGGAGCTTACATCAATAGATATAAACAATTCACCAAAGTTTCATGAGAATTGCTGACAGCATTTTTGAGTTATTGTCAGAAAACTGGAAAATCCCCCTTTTTTAATGAATAAAACCCCACAACTCAGAAATGTAAAATGTAAAATTTATAAAATTCTAAAGGGAGCTTACATCAATAGATATAAACAATTCACCAAAGTTTCATAAGAACTGCTGAAAGCATTTTTGAGTTTTTGTCTGAAAACTGGAAAATCCCCCTTTTTTTTTAATAAAACCCTGTAACTCGGAAACGTAAAATCTAAAATTTATCAAAATCGAAAGGGAGCTCATGTCAATAGATATAAACAATTCACCACAATTTCTTGCAAGTTGGTGAAAGCATTCTTGAGTTATTGTCAGAAAACTGGAAAATCCCCCTTTTTTAATGAATAAAACCCCGTAACTCAGAAATGTAAAATGTAAAATTTATAAAATTCTAAAGGGAGCTTACATCAATAGATATAAACAATTCACCAAAGTTTCATAAGAACTGCTGAAAGCATTTTTGAGTTTTTGTCTGAAAACTGGAAAATCCCCCTTTTTTTTTAATAAAACCCTGTAACTCGGAAACGTAAAATCTAAAATTTATAAAAATTGAAAGGGAGCTCATGTCAATAGATATAAACAATTCACCACAATTTCTTGCAAGTTGGTGAAAGCATTCTTGAGTTATTGTCAGAAAACTGGAAAATCCCCCTTTTTTTAATGAATAAAACCCCATAACTCGGAAACGTAAAATCTAAAATTTATAAAAAACGAAAGGGAGCTTACGTCAATAAATATAAACAATTCACCAAAGTTTTATGCAAATTGGTTAAAGCGATGTTGAGTTAATGTCCGACATGTTGACGACGGACGGACAGACGGACGGACGGACAGACGGACAACGGTATACCATAATACGTCCCGTAAACGGGCGTATAAAAACTTGATAATAATTCTTTGCTTGAAATTCTCTACTTAGCAATGCATTCTGCTGATGATTTAAACCTGAACTATAACCTTTTGGAATACTGTGAATCATTTTTCAAACACAGTATAATAATACAGCTCTTTAGAGAAGTTGCTTGCCCATCCCAGTTGTCAACAAGAATGCATGTGTTTTCATGCTAAACATCCACAACTTAAAGTATCAGCAAACAGGAAGTAGGTTTCTCACAGCCAAAAGAGTGGTAACACTCATTACAACTCATCACTGTCAAGCTGCTGACCAAATATGAAGTCATAGTGTACAGTAGTACTTAAAAAAGTGTGACAGAAATATTTTTTTGACAGTAAACTGATCAACTGAAGGATAGACAGATGGATGGACAAGGTGAATGCAATATAGCCCCCACTCAAAGAGTGTGAGCTTTTTGAGTTAACTATATCAAATATTATTCCTAAAGAGTCAAATGTATGAATTAAAAGTAAAATATATTGAGGTAATACCGTATACAATAGTTAGGTTGAAACATACAAACATGAACACAAATATTACATTATCATAAATTTGATGAAAATCAACATGTAGAGATGTATTACATCCTCATTGTGCGTCCCCTTGAATAATAAAATCCCAAAAGATGTGATTTGCCAATGTAAAGAAAGAAATGGCAGAGATTTAAGCTGCACAGAAGCATACGTACTCAGGATACTGTGTTTATATCTGTCATGCTTCAGATTCCGACTACGAAAGAAGAAAAGTTACTGTTACCAAATTGATTCATGTTCAAAAATCCCCTTCATTTAGTACTGTGCAAATTTTTCTTGCTTATACTTAAACATGTTAAAAGAAAAAAAGAAGAAAAAAAAAAAAAAAAATCAAGTAAATTCTGAAGTTTTATTTATCAATGCATTGCTATACATTGCATTATAAATACAATTCATTTTTAAACATATAGTTATTTAATTTGATGTTTGATGAATAAAAAAATCATTGCCTAATTTGAAAGAAAGAACAAATTATATAATGCATTAATATGGAGCAAAAAAGTTTGTTTCCCCCTACCCCAGCCAGGCCTACAAAAATGTGCTATTCTTATGTAAATTACATTTGTGTATCAGCTATATGTTCACAAGTTATAGGAAGTCATTCTCAGAAGGCCTAAGCTTTGTTTTGAAATCATAAAGATAAATATTTGCAGCTAAGATGGTGAATGAAATTGCTTTGTCAGAAAGCTGTAAAAAGCAGTTTACTTTCTATATTTTTTCAATATCAAATCCTGAAAAATAAATGAAGAATGTGTCCATGGAAAACAGATGATGCCCCTGCTTGCATAGATCATTATAAAGGGGCATAACTCAAGAACAGTAAAAGTGACGCCCCCCAAATTCGAACTTGATCTGTTACAGATGACAAGGGTAACACTTAATGCCCCCTCCAGTGACAGCAGGGGCATAAAAATCTACCTCCCTGGTCTACCCTGAAATCTGGCCAGGCATAAAAGGGGAAACCAATAATTTTATTGTTTTTTTATGGTAAGATGAGATGAGATTCTATTCACACTTTCCTTATATTTCCAAATATTAATATAAGCTGACAAGGTAGTGTTAGGTCTACCACCAGTTGCCTTGTCAAACACAGAGATAAGTTTTTTTTAAAGAAGAAAAGAGCTTTAAAAACAGGGTTAAATTGTTAATTTATTGCATAATTTATCCTTTAATACTATGTAGCCGATCACAGTTTTGGTCTGGTATCATACTATGGCTTATGTGCATTAATATGCAATAGAAACAGCTTATTTTTCAACATAGATGGACTCTCAACCATGTTCAAATAGATATGTTGATTGATAGGAATATGAACCCTGCTTTGTACAAGATAATTTGGTATTTAGTATGCTATCGGACAAGGGCTCTCTATGGGGCATCTTACCCAGACACACTACTCTGACTAATAACGGACAATTTTTTGCTTTTAAATACTGTATGCTTAGACACAGGTAACAATCCTTAGACCTCAAACACTCAGGTCAAGTACATTATCACTGGGTTATTGTCTCATTGACGTATATTCCATATCTACTTTAAAAGATGTTATCATATGATTTGATTCCAAGTTAGAAATATGTTGCCTGCCGTCTGGAAATAATATAAAAATGGTCATGTATTTTATAGTGTCTTTCTATGTTGTAATGTTACACTACTATTTCAGGTCAGGGTGAAGGTTGGCACCTGTTAAAACGTTTAAACCCGCTTCATTTGTTTGCACCTGTCCTAAGTCAGGAACCTGATTAGTGGTTGTCGTTTTTTGATGTGGTTCTTAAGTGTTTCTCGTTACTCGTTTTTTATATAGATTAGACCGTTGGTTTTCCTGTTTGAATTTTTTTACACACGTCATTTTGAGGACCTTTATAGCTTGGTGTTCGGTGTGAACCAAGGCTCCATGTTGAAGGCAGTTTGGTTGAATTCTGTCCAGCTGCGGAATATCAATGTGTGATGCAAACTGACAAAGACATTGACACAAGTACTAAGTAATATCTATGTGTCCCTGTACCTTCCCATTAAAATTACCTAGGTTTGGTTTTGTTGCCTGACGAGAAGGTACAAGGTTTGGTTTTGTTGCCTAATTAAAAAATTTTATCTAGCACCATAGTTTTAAAAACCCTGGTACTAACAAATTATAATAAAGTATAGAGTTAAAATAAAATATATGGAGGAGGATAAACATATATACTAAGTAAAATGAAATTTGTATATGATAACAACATGCTGTGTTCATGCTGAAATAGTGAGGGAGAAAAAAGGCATGCTGGGATTGATATGCCTCTGTATATTGACGTTCAGGGAAAATTACATTGAGGAACTTGTGGTTACTAAATCATTATTATATAACAGCACAAAAACCAGACATCTGTCTCCTTTGTGGTCAAATCTAGTCCAATTATATTCTTTATTATTTCAGTAAAAAGTTGATGTCTATTCAAATCTTAACTGCCTCCTTCTGGAATACTATGGATGCATTATTATTCATGGGATACCAAGTTTCGCGGATATTGTGGGTATCGGTAAACCACAAATTTAAATGTTCAACGAATCCCAATCTTTCTATAGGCTTGAATACAGACTTTTGCTAAACCATGAATTCAAATTTCCACGAAAAATACAAAATTTCTTAATCCACAAAAATTGGTATCCATGAAAATAAATGAATCCATAGTCTAGATTTCTGTTGAATAATTTTAATTTCAACTTCTAAACTTCTAATATAAAGGTACTATTCATTTTTAGAACAGCTGACATAATCTGGAAAGATTTGACCAATCACTAGAAAACATACACAATATCTTGATTTCCGTTAGAAAACATTTAACTAAATAAAATGAATACCTTTATATGAACATATGAATTTTGGGTTGGCCTATATAACGAATTTCTACTCTACAAAATAGGTACACGATAATTTACGTTCACATGCAATTTTAAAACAATGTATTATCTTCTTTAAAAAAAGGTTGACATATTAATGCACGATTTCCATTGAAATGATAGGACAACATAAAAAACAAAAAGTCAACTACAAAAGCACATTGAGGAGGCAAGCAATAGGATGATAAAATGATGACCTGTGGTTTATACGGGCCACTTTGAACTTTGGTATGTGTAATTGCTTACACCTCTACCTATAGATTCTGGTGACATAGCATGAACCTGGAAATCAAATACATGGTCATTTAAACGTTTTATTCTTAAACAAAATAGTCAAGATATTTTAGGTATGCAACATGATCATATAAATGCTTTATTTCTAACAAACACAAACAAGTTGGACTATTTTTGGTGTGTAATATGGTCATTGAAATGTTTCTTTCTTAAATAAAATGAAATAGTTAATGTATTTTTATGTGTGAAATCAGTATAGCAAAATTTGAAAGGAGGGTGAAATATGAAAGTATAATTATGAGGTTCTATGTAGACTTTTGTGTAAATTTGTGATTTGCAGGAAAAGTTAAACTATTTTACCTTTCTGTGGAAGAACAGATGGTGAAAATGTGTTTACATTTTGAATACATGGATATAAATGAAGTAGTATACATAAAATGTTTAGATTGTGCAATACAAGTTTTAGACATTTGAATGATGAGCATTTCATTGTGCATTTAGAAAGCATTGAAACATATAGTTACAAATTTCAAAGAAATCACAATCCGATCGGCAAATTAGCCTTAACTGGCATCAAACAAAGCTAAGAGTATCAGCACACAGGATGGGAACCCACAGACTACATGCCTATCTCGTCTTGTCCTATATGAACTAGCTATATTGTCATAGATATATCTGACATTTTTATAGTGTGTCTATTGACTTACCTCAAACATTGAAGATGTACTCTCTCCTAAGGATGCTCGGTCATGTCCTAATTCAGGACTGTCAGATGCAGTTGAAATTGGACGAGCACTTCCTATAATAAATATAGAATTCGTAAGCAGCATTCTTATTGATAATCATTCAATCTTAGCAACAGAATATTTGATTCAATTGAAAAACTGCTATAAGACATGTAATACACTTGTTGTGTTAGGCATACCTAATCCTAATTCTATGTATCTGAAAACTGGAAGTAGCTGCCTGACAGATCTTAAAAGCACTCATATATAACAATTCATCCCTGTCAAGCTGCTGACAAAATATGAAGTCATTATATTTAGTAGTTCCTGAGAAAAGGGGGATATAAAAATTTTTGTTCATTCAACATACTGTAAATTAAGGAATTATTGCTAGATTTTTTTTAATACAAAAAATGCAAATTAGTGAGTATTGCAGTAATAAGAACTTGCATTCTGAAATCTGATACATATATATCTTTATGCGTATTTTCCTGAAATCGTAATAATTAATCTGGCATTTATGTCTATTCTTTAAAAATTGCGATAATAAATGCACCCAATAATTTCTGAATTTACAGTATTGAAAAACTCAAAATTATCAGCAAACACGAAGTAAGTATCTGACAATAGCTATTGTATTTATTCAATGAGACAGTTCACATTCCAAGAATTTAAATACCCTGACCAACATCAACTGATTCTCAAGGAAAGTTTTATTTCCTTCCCAATAAATGAACACCTCGCAAAAAATACATGTTTAAATACATTAGCTGTGTTGGATAGAAATCAACCTTATGCAAATGAATATCAATACATTTGTTAACCTCTTTTGGGATGAGATAATCTCTATGCAAAGTCTGTAACTGTTTTAAGATTGAGTTGAAATAAGAGCTCTACAAAACAGAACAAAATTCATCTTTTATGTCATATCTGAATGTTCCAAAATCAATCAAAGTCTTATACATGTACATGTATTTGTGCACTTGCATAAAGTCGATTTCTACCAGATGCAGATCACATCCTACTTACCATTGTGTTGTGCACCCCTTGTATGAGCTTCTTGAACAGTTTTCATGCTAGGATGCAACATACTTCTAACTCTCTGCGGGATTGGGTCATTCCCTCCTGAGGCCTCTGGTTGAGGTTGATTCTATGTAAAACATTTATATGCATAATAGTATCCTTCTGATTTTTATATAACACTGTGTCTTTTGTCACAAAGAAAGTTAATTTATGCTTTAGTGGGAATGAATGCTAATGTATAAATGGGGATTATCAAACCATTGGTGAACATATTTGACACCATTTGTTAAATTTCAGAAATTGTAATAAATAAATCACTTTTTTTGTTGTTGTCCTTTTCAAATCCATTACGTCTTTAATTGTTTATTTGATATATAAACATTACATATCCAAATTTATACAAATTACACATGTAGATATTTCCTATGATCTACAAAATGTACATTTTTATATGTTAACTATTTGTAGTTGATAAATACAAATTATGAGTCTGATCTACCTATACAGTTCTGTCTAGCTGGATACCAACACTTTTGCAATTAGTGAAGTACATTGGTATTAGGCAGTGAAAAAAGATCTATTCCTCTTTTATTCATGCAAAACTTTGAAGTTTTGATATCAAGCAGTTTCAAATAATGTTTGTATCAAAATACATTTCTTCGTTACCTTTGGAAGTTCTATCAATGCCTGAAGTCCCAAATCAGGACCCATACTTTACTTTTGGAAGTTCTATCAATGCCTGAAGTCCCAAATCAGGACCCATACTTTACCTTTGGAAGTTCTATCAATGCCTGAAGTCCCAAATCTGGACCCATACTTTACCTTTGGAAGTTCTATCAATGCCTGAAGTCCCAAATCAGGACCCATATGAGCCACGTGACTGAAATTTGTTGGTCCAGAAATAATTCTTGATCGTCTGTCTGCCCTATAAATAGAAAATGAATTTCAAATCATGTTAACAGTTAAGTCTATTCAATTAGAAAACCTTTGAAACAACACTCTATTCTGCTCAACAACAAAAATTTAAAAAGCTTACTTAACCATTTTGAATTTTTACCTGAGAAGAAATATTGGATTAGTGTTTATCTAAAGAGATTGTATCTTTAAAATAATCTGTTATGTTTAAAAAAGAAAAAGTAACGACTGAATGATTTTCTACACCCTGTTTTCACAGGACTTATATCTACAAAATTTACCTTCCAAACCACGGTCTACCAAATCTCCAAAAGACAATTACAAATTTTTCCTAACCTTAGAAATATAGCAAAAATAATTTAACAACAGATGATATATAACATGCGTAGAATATATTCATGCAGACTGAAAGCTGAGTCGTGACTTAGAACTGCAGTGTAACTGTTGTAATGCTTGTTTCTTTAAGAGTATGCTTTAACCTGCTTTTAATGCACTTGTGCAAGGGCCACCTGTATATATATTAGTCCATTTTCAATAATGCACTCATACATTTATACACATTAATGCAATTTATGTAAATATAATTATTCATGGCATTTCAATTTTTGTGGATTTTGTGAGTATAGGTAAACTTTAAATTTAAATGTTCAATGAAGTACAAATTTTCTAAAGCCAAACTTTGGCTAAATGATGAAATCAAATATCCAACCAAATATACGAAATCCACAGTATATCATAAAAAGCATTTGCTATTAAATTGGTGATAACCAACAATAAAGAGTATCATCCTATGAAGTAGTGTTGTTCAATGGTTATATAGTTGCTACAAAATGTATGATGAAACGATATAAGTTTCTTGTTGCTACAAATGAATCTTGCAAAAGTTTGTGGTCTTAAGAAAAATTACTTTTTCAAATGGGGAAATATTAATTCCTTTAATTACAAAAAAATGCTATTTCCATAACCTATACATATATATGTAAAAACAAATGCCCACAAAAAAAAATCTGCTGATGCTAAACTCTATATGTGATAAGCGAAAAAGACAGAATTTCACACTATATATACATAGAAACACAAATAATATAAAATATATCTATACTACTATGCTCTAATTATATGATATACATGTACAAGATGTGGTGGTTAGCAGGCTATAATGTAATGGGCACTACGGATCGTTCATGCAGGACATGCAGAGTTCACTGAAGCATAGCAATGTGACTGGCCCACTATGATAAGAAAGAGAGCTTACTGGACTTGTACTGGAATACTGGTGTGAAAACTATCTGGTCCCATATGTGCTACATGACTGAACGTAAGAGGTCCTGAAATTTCACGAGAACGTCGTTCCTGCCTATACAAAATATTACCAATTGTCAATTACTCCATTTTGCCAGTCATACTGACCACACCGATTTAATAGCTGGACAATGGAAGGAGTCTCATATAACAGATTACATGTTTATACGATGCTAGCTTTGGCACACTAATTATTTGTTTATCATGCAAGTATATCAAATTATCATGCTAAGATGTAAAGAAGATCTTGATATCGCTGAATTTGATAAGTATGTTTACTGCAGAAGAATGAGATTAAAGTATAGTTTCTTTCCTATGCAAAGTTCAGTTCAGTTCAGTTCATAGCTATTCCAGAAATAAGTGTGAAATGGAAAGCAAAGAAGTAAAATAATATATAATTTTATCCCATATTGCAAACAATTCTAAAATCTGACCCAACCCATCTTCTAAAAGGATCAAAGCTTAGTATATTAAGTTGCTGTGTAGGATGATAAACACACACAACTTATGGACAGTCAAAGAGGCCACCAACACATATTTCTGGAAAAGCCCTAACATATTACCTAATTTTAACAGCTACATATATTAATTTCATTAGAATATATCTTTATCATTATCTATTTTGTATTTCATAGATGCTGAATTCATCATTTAAGTTATGATCTGCTATAAATGAAACAACATTGAACTGTTGTTAAATAATGATTAACATTCAAAGCTAAACATAAACTGCTGCATGCTTAAAAAAATATAATCTGAGTAGATTTTTCTGTTACTGCTAGTGTTTGGCCCAGTCTTGCTATGTAGAATGATATACATCAATTCTTTCTGGAATAATTCAAACACTTCAAATTTCCAACATAAAATTATCCAACCCATAACGAAACACTTATCAAATGATGTTACCTTCCCATCCGCTGCAACACCTCACAAATTGATTAAACAAACATATTGTGAGCTAACAAGAATACTTACCCTTTAACATTCTGATCATCTCTTGTTTTGAAAGAGAATCGTCTTTTGCTTCTGTTTACACTCTTGCTCTTGAAAATTTCTGATAAGTTAAGTTTGTCTTCTTCTGCAAATTATCAAAAATTCACAACTTAGTTGTATTAGGGTTTTATATTTACATTTATAAACTGTAAACTAAATTGAATTACAAGTTTCATCATAAGGACAATGAGGCATTGCTTAGACCCCATGCCACTGTTAAATTGGTCTGAAATGTTTCTTTATACAGTAAACGATATGTCAATGTAGCTATAATGCTTATATCTAAGTGATATAATGCACTCAATTTTAAAGACACTGATAAAATCTTTTGCCTCTAAATGTGAAAATTAGACTTATGAGTTGGTCCTAGATTTCTTATTCCACACAGTTCTACAGAAAGGATGAATGCTGTATTATCTTACCTAAGTGAATATTTTTAAAGTAGACTATATGTTGTGAGTCAAGGTTTGTGAACAAATTCATAGAACCATCTTTACATAGAGGTTTTGTCTGAAAGTAAACAATAAAATGCAAACATAAAAGTATACTTATCAATAAATTTTCCATATCTTTGTTTTTATGATCAGGTTTATTTCGAAAATCTCCTTCTGACAAATATGTTTGGTAGTGAGATTTACTCACCATATAATGGGCGCTATATAGTTATATATTTGCAACAACAAAAAGTGAGCAATACTAAAATCTCAATGTTTTATATATTTGAATTTTAAGCTATAATATGTATTCCACTTGATGCTTCTGCAAAACTAATTTCTTGAATAATAAGTTAAGAACAGCTAAATTACATCATACAAGAAAATCACCAACACGTTAAAAAACTATAAAATTACATCCAAGTTACAGCAGAATGCATCGAGTGTGTGGGTAAAGGTAATATGTTTGGTCAGCTTGCTTGCTAGCTGAACCGTGAAGTCATTATTAGGTTAGGTAAACTACCCTCCTTTAAGAGTAGACTAGTCCGACAGATAACCAATCTATATGTCTGTATGACTAGACTACTCCGAAAGAAGGGTAGTATACATAACATAATAATGACTTCACGGTTCAGCTAACAAGCAAGCTAACCAGATTATAGCTTTACCTACACACTCAATGCTTTCTGCTGTAATAGTCAGGAGCCTGTAGTTCAGTGGTTGTCGTTAGTTCATGTCTGTCATATTTGTTTTTCGTTAATTGTTTTGTTATAAATTAGGCCGTTACTTTTCTCGGTTGAATTGTTTCATATTTTTCATGTCAGGGCCTTTTATAGCCGACTATACAGTATGAGTTTTTCTCATTGTTGAAGGCTGTACGGTTACCTATAATTGCTTACATCCACTTTATTTGAACTTTGGTGGATAATTGTCTCATTGGCAATCATACCTCATCTCCTTATTTTTATAAGACGAAAAAAAAACCAAAAACTAACACTACCCTTTCATATTATTATGCAGCAAAATTAATAAAATCATACTTTTTTTAAGTTGAGAGTCTGTATCCATTCAACAGTTTTTATATTATATACAAAAACAGCATTCTCAGAATAGCACAGGAGATATGGTTCATAATAGGCTAAAAATAAAGAAGGAATTCTCAATTATTTAATATTAAGTACGATATATCAATTGTTTTCATTTTTCATTTTACATCAATGAGATAGAAATCAGACAGAAATTCACGGTTTAAAAATAATTTAAAATAACTAAAAAGTTATTCATCAGTAACTATTACATTGTCTATTTATTCTCACTTGTTCTTTTTCCATTACCATCATATTGTTGTATTTTGAATGGTGAAATGTTAACCTACCAAATGCCAAGGGTGGAGCTGGCCACATCATTTCTTGAGTCCTACTTCTCTTACCACTATTGTCTACATATACACCTAATACTGAAATACACAACACACACTAGTGTGAACATAAACATGTAAACTATTTGTGTGGAACATTGAATAAGTGTCTGTAAAAAACCCAATTGATGATGGATGGTTGTTAAATTTATAGCAATTTACATGTTAATGTGATATAAATATGAACCCTGCAAGACACCCCGAAATGGGTTTTAACATGCTAGTTCACAAAGTAACACAGTAAGACATGTCACCCTATCTGGACACATTAATCTGACAATGAGTCTACTTGTCTCTGTTCTTACTCCTAAATATTTTATGCTTTACAGGGAAGCAACAAATAACAACATTCAAGCCTTTGATTGACCTGGCTGGGCATCAAACCAACAACCTCCGGGAGGTGAACAAACTACCCAAATTTAATACTCAAATATATGTGCTATTCATATCTAAGAACGAGGATTCCCTCATGCCATCAAAAGAACTAACAATCTTGTTTTTGATGTACAAAAACTGTTATATGGCCTTTTATAGCTTTCTATTGTTTTTGTTCATGGTACAGACATCATACAATTACTGATGCAACGTTTACAGGAATTTAATAATCTAATGCAATTTTGTCAATCAATTTCATCAAAAACAGTGTTTTATTCAAAATATGTAAAATTATAAAAAATGAGATGTGTTTGGTCTTTTTTCATCAGACTTTTATATTACTGAACAGCACCATTTTCTTCACATATAGGAATGTATGTGCCAAGAAAGATCTCAATTATTCTTTATCTAAGTAAAATAGATCAGGGTCTGCAATGAAAAATAGGGTCATTAGAGAACTAGATGTCATAGTAATAATTACCATTAAACACTAGAAAATATTCTGTTTCAGACACCTGTACTGCCAGCAGTGCATCTAATTGTATCTGGACAAGAAATTGTAGACTAGGGTCCTCTGTGTTCAGTAAAGCTATAAAACAAAGAAGCAGCCATGTTAACATTTATTAAAAGCATTGTGCAAATATTACTTATATTAGGATTACATACTTATGAAATGCTTACAAATTCCATTTAAGTAAGCAAAACTGTGTCACACTATGTGTTTTATGACTCCACTTATACATGTTATACCTGTATATAAGGGGCCAGAGAAATATGTACCCTAATATAAAAATTAACTTTAGTACATATTTTTCCATAAACATGATATTTCCCCAGTATCCATTATTTGTACTGGTGCTCCCTAAACTATGAATTACTGTTATCTTTCAGCACACAGATTGGTATTTAAGAGAAAACACAGTTCTCATTAACATTGAAAAATAAAACACAGCTCATTAAACCTTGTTCCCCCAAAAAATCATTTTCCTATGGCATTTACTTTTCAGCCATTTGTGTGCATTTAAGGTTTAAATGCCATTATCAAAAGTAGTATGTCTTGCTACAAGAAAAATAAATACAAACAAATGGTCACACTACAGACAATGTCATATCTACTTGTCTTTTGTATCATCATTGGATTTTTATAAATGGATTAATTTGATTGATTGCTGGTTGCTTGATGTCTAATAAATGGATTAAAGAAACTCTATAATCTAATTTCCTTTGCTAAACATTACAGAAAACCTCAGATGATTTAAAATGTACAAAGAATGGTGTTTTTAATCTGTATATTTACAGAAAAGATATAATTGTAAACAAATACATTAAGATGACACATACCCATTGGTGCTGCATCACCTTGTACACTATAAATAGCAAAACAAGACGGATATCCTACACAAAGTCTATCATTGATTATTTCTAGAAACTGCACATGTCCCGGAACTTGAATGTCTTTGACCTTGCGATAGCGTTGTCTGGTTAATATAAGGTCGTACACTTGTATAGTTCTTTTAATAGCTACACAGAGACAAGAATTTTGAGTCTGACGTATAAATCCTACACAGAACACATTACAGCCTTTGGTTTCTGGAATTTTAACTGGATCTCCTTCATGACCCTCTAATACAGACTGATGTATAATTTTTATATGGTGTTGTCTACCTGTAAAGATCATTTAAAAATTTTAATTAATAATTTCATCAACAAAAGCAAAAACTGACACTGATTATAAATATAAGATACTATTTGATGTGACTTGTGTTAGTTTAACACATTCAATAACAATAAAGATCAATTTATGTTTTAAGCATGTGCACTTCTTATGTTTTCAACTTATCTTCAATGTTTTGTAGCCCCTTTTGTATTTTCATAAGCTATGCATTAAACATTTTTCAAAAGTAACCCAAATTTTTTTTTAATTATTTTTTTTAAAATTTGCATCTCAAATACACTTCTGGTAAAATGAAATATGAATTTCAGCAACCATCCTCCATTACATGTCCCTTTTATTCTCCCACTGATAACAATAACAATGCAACTGTCTAAAGAGTATTGATATAACCCCATTACAGGTTATGTGTCGGTCCCCTAGATGAGAAAACCTGTCAATTGTTTTTCTCTGTGTCTCCATATTTTCCTCCCCTGAGAATGTGTTGGTAGTTTCAGATACTTTGCTATTTATCTTGCATTTACCACAAGTCTCTTAGGGCTTGCCTTTGAGCATGGGTGCCTGTCCATTGAATGTTTTATGGTTACCACTAGACAAATAACAATATAAAAGTCTGTTACACTTACCACTAGTATATACTACTAACTGTTCATCATGGACTAATTCTACTTGATACACAGGTTTCTTCTCATTCTTATCCCCTATCCTGATCAACACTACAAAAACACCAACTCATATTCTATTATAGTGATTATTTACAATATTGCAATGAACGTTCTGACACAATGTAAAAGATAAGAGAGTTTATCATATCATATCATATTATATTAAACTTTTAGGATACTATCAGCTATAATCAACTAAATTATTTCTTCATCTAGGATGTGAGATAATTTAATTATTTTCTGATATTCAATTTATTAATTATTGACATGGATGATTGATATGACATCTTAAGTTATAATTGTTCATATTTTATGAATATTACATTTTCTATAATACTTTACTGATCAAAGACTTTATATTCATTTATAAATTTGTCATCACACAATAATGTTTCACATTTCAGGCTTATCATTGCTGACTATATGGTATGGGTTTTGCTCATTATTGAATGCCCTACTGTGACCTATAGTTGCTTACATCAATGTCATTTGGACTCTGTTGAATGGTTCTCTCATTAGCAATCATACCACATCTCCTTATTTTTATATTCAATAGCTTATGTCATAACGTTGTTTTTATTTAATTAAATGATACACACATTACATTGGACTATATTCAACTATATTGAAACATACCATCTTTGTTTAACTGTGCCACAAACAATCCTTCGTCTGTACCCATCAACAATTTGTTTTGTTCTGAAACAAAAAATATCTGTTTACCAAATGTGACAAACTGTAATATTATATCTGTAAAATTGGTTTGATTCCCCCCAAAAAAACCTATTTCAGTGTAAAATTTCCATCTGATTCTCCCATATCCTACAACTGAACACTGAAATAAACAAGGGGGCAAAGCTCACTAAAGATACCCCAATACTGTCAATTCAGAAATCATTGCAAGGTTTTTATTAATGTGAATAATATGACTGGATGAATATTGCAATTATATGAACTCACATTCTAATATTATATCTGATATATATATATCTGCAGCAGGTATTCCTGAATCGCAATAATTAATCTCATATTTTTGTCTTATCTTTCAATATCGCAATAATAAATGCATGCAATAATTTCTGAATTTACAATATACGTTTTTTTGTTATAGGAAGTTGAATAAGCATCACATTGTATAACATGCTGACATGTAGCATGATATCAAATGCTCCTCTTACGTGAAGGAAGTATAAATACTTTCTATGTAATTGACTGTTTTCTTGTTTTAAATTCAGACTTTATCCTGTATAGTACTGTAAATATTCTAAATAATTTATGTGATAGGTTGAAATTTGTGGCATTGAGTAAACCTGATGAATATTATTCCAGAAACATGTGTTGTTTATATAACTGCATTGTATAATAACTACACACAAACATAACTAGAGATGGCTGTTTCTATATTTCAATAATTTGAGGTGAAAGCTATCAATGTTCTAGCTAGTAGTTTCTCCTTCAGATACAAAGTTGACCTTAGATGAATTTGGCTATAAAGATCTCTATTGTCGAGGCCCCTCATGGCGGTGTCTAAGTAATCACATAATCACAAATTTTTTGCCAATATAATCACATACTGTTAAAAGGCTTGTATAGTCCGCGGTTTTTTTCTCCAAAATTGACCCTGACAGCAGGGGTGCGGACTATAGAGTACAATAAGCAATAAATAAGAGAGAAAATTTCAATTTCGCGATGTGGTTTGTTTACGTTCCGCCATGTTTGTTATTGACATTGTAGAGGGCGCTCTTATCATTTTTCAAACCAATAATTTTACCCAATCCATATTAATCAGTTATTTTTATTCAATATCAAATTAATACTGATAATTTAAAAAATTAAATGCTTCATTACAAACTTCTCGTTTCTTTTCAATGCATTGCTAAATATAAACTGGTATCTACTTGAATGAAATCTTACAAAAAAAGTAAAAAAAGACAACCGTAAACCAGCTTACGATGTGTAAACTACAAAACGTAATCGGTTATTATTCGTTCCGTTTTTGTGTTTCCTATTGACAAATATGTTTTGTATTAGATTAAGACCCTTCAAATATTAATGTGATAGATATATTAAACACTGTTTTACTTAAGGAGGGAACTGTTTTACTTTCAACGTCGTATTATAGTGATATCTATTATGCACGGATTTCGACTCTCACCGGGTTTTTTCATCTTTTACACGTGCTTTTCAAACTTCCGGTTTAAACATACACAAGTTTCTAAATTGTTTTTTGTGTGATTTAGACTTATTTTAACCAGCGTGAAGTGTTTTAGAACCATTTACAAGCAGTTTCAGCTTCTGTTTGGTGATTGAAAATAGGTAAGAAAATACCGCAAACGACCACACACGATTTAAAATTACCGGAGTTTCATTAGACCTTTTCTAACAGTTACAAAAAGTTTTTTTACCTGAAATTTCGTGGGGAGAAGGGGCTGCGGACTATGTACCAGTGCGAACTATACAAGCCCGATTACGGTAATCATTATTTTTTTAAACAAGATAATCAAATAATCAAAAATACAGTCCTAGATTATCAAATAATCTTGAAATATTTGGTCTGGTAATCAAATAATCACTATAAAAACGGCCAAGTAATCACATAATCAAAAACCCCACGAGGAGGCTCATTGTATCCTTACTTTTCTATGATCCGTGTCTTTCAAGTGTTTAGGTCTGAGTGTTACTGAAGAAAGTAAATCCAGAAACAATTCTCATGCATGAAATTTAATACTGTAAATTCAGAAATTATTGCATGCATTTATTATTGCGATTTTGTCATTTTAGACTAAAATGCGATTTTAATTTTGCGACATTGAGAAAAATCCTGTTTAATTCATATAAAATATTTCAAAATGGGAGTTTAAATTATTGCAGTTATAACCCTGTCGCATTTTTCACAATAATGAAAACACTAATAACTATTAAATTCACTCAAATACATCTCTATATTGTGACTCACCTAAAATTAAACAAGAATTTGTACTTTTGACTAACGACAATGAGTTGTCATATACCTCCTGAGCCTGAAATGCCTGAAATAAAAAAATATTATAATTAAAATCTTTAAAACGAGTTTATTCATTTAATGAAATATCTTTGTGTTCAGTATACATTTGTATTTTTGAGAGTATAATTAAATATTTCTATATAAATGAAAGGCTAACATATTTAATTAATGCCATAATTTGGAAATGTAAATAATATTAGTTACATTCAGTTTATGTAAGAGGACAGTGTAAATTTCCAGCTAATATCAGCTTCACTACTGACGGTTATTCCAACAAAAAGAATGTGGGAGTGAAGGAAGGGATGTCCAAAAATGACCCTACAACCAACATTTACTTTTCCTAATTTTCCATACATCAAATGGAAATACAACTAAAAATAAAGCTGCCCTTCTTTCACTCCCACTTCCATTTTTAATTGGATAGCCATTACAATGCTCAACAAAAAACATAACAATCAATCTGGAACTATGAATTAATTTTCTTCATTCAGGTCTTCCTCAGCTAAAGTGTAACTCAAATTAAACCAATTAATTTAAACTTTTGCACAGAAATTACTATATGATATTTAAACTTAAAAATATGTTTAGGATCTTATTCTCCACCAAATGCTTTTGTTACTCATTTAGAACACATCCTTCCAGCAACAATTGAAGTCAAATTTGCTTGAAACTTGAGTCTTGCAAACTCATTTACAGCTGCAATCAATCAACTCCTTTCTAACTCATTCATAATTTAATGAATTTGTTTGGAAGATTATTCTTATGCAACTCTTTTAGAACGCCAACTGATAAAATGACAATAAAACTTACAGATTTGTATGGAAGCTTATTCTTTTGTAACTCATTCAGAACTCCAACTGATCAAAATACAATAAAACTTACAGATTTGCATGGAAGCTTATTCTTTTGTAACTCATTCAGAACTCCAACTGATCAAAATACAATAAAACTTACAGATTTGCATGGAAGCTTATTCTTTTGTAACTCATTCAGAACTCCAACTGATAAAATGACAATAAAACTTACAGATTTGTATGGAAGCTTATTCTTTTGTAACTCATTCAGAACTCCAACTGATAAAATGACAATAAAACTTACAGATTTGTATGGAAGCTTATTCTTTTGTAACTCATTCAGAACTCCAACTGATCAAAATACAATAAAACTTACAGATTTGTATGGAAGCTTATTCTTTTGTAACTCATTCAGAACTCCAACTGATAAAATGACAATAAAACTTACAGATTTGTATGGAAGCTTATTCTTTTGTAACTCATTCAGAACTCCAACTGATAAAATGACAATAAAACTTACAGATTTGTATGGAAGCTTATTCTTTTGTAACTCATTCAGAACTCCAACTGATAAAATGACAATAAAACTTACAGATTTGTATGGAAGCTTATTCTTTTGTAACTCATTCAGAACTCAAACTGATCAAAATACAATAAAACTTACAGATTTGTATGGAAGCTTATTCTTTTGTAACTCATTCAGAACTCCAACTGATAAAATGACAATAAAACTTACAGATTTGTATGGAAGCTTATTCTTTTGTAACTCATTCAGAACTCCAACTGATCAAAATACAATAAAACTTACAGATTTGTATGGAAGCTTATTCTTTTGTAACTCATTCAGAACTCCAACTGATAAAATGACAATAAAACTTACAGATTTGTATGGAAGCTTATTCTTTTGTAACTCATTCAGAACTCCAACTGATAAAATGACAATAAAACTTACAGATTTGTATGGAAGCTTATTCTTTTGTAACTCATTCAGAACTCCAACTGATAAAATGACAATAAAACTTACAGATTTGTATGGAAGCTTATTCTTTTGTAACTCATTCAGAACTCCAACTGATCAAAATACAATAAAACTTACAGATTTGTATGGAAGCTTATTCTTTCGTAACTCATTCAGAACTCCAACTGATAAAATGACAATAAAACTTACAGATTTGTATGGAAGCTTATTCTTTTGTAACTCATTCAGAACTCCAACTGATAAAATGACAATAAAACTTACAGATTTGTATGGAAGCTTATTTTTGCGTAGAAGCTTGTGTAACTCATTCAGAGCTCCGACCCATCGGTGTCTCTCCTGTTCACTTTCAGCTAACATTAATACTTGGTATTTACTTCCAGGAGGATTCATTTCTGATGTTGTCACCTACAAATAGTCATTTATAATCAAACTAAAACTTAATTTACACTCAATAGTGATGTATGGACATGTTAATATTCACTTTCACATTCTATGGTCTGTTATGGACAGTCGTTACATGGCATAACAAAAAAAAAATATTTTCTTCTTTTTACATTAAAATTCACAATAAAAAGTAAACATAAAACAAGTTGTATTGTGAGCTATTGTTCACTACTTGTACCCTGGTTCAATGTTGTTGACTATTCTGCAAATTAACTGTAAATACGATAAATTCATATATGTGCTCAATATTTTAAAGGTATGAGTTTTTCTGCAAACAGGAAGTAGAACATTGAAGGAACTGAAATCAAGTCACACAGTATGGCATTACCAGATGAAGCTTGATGCCATATATCAGGAAGCTGAAACTTATTGTTGCTGAGAAAAATGCAACCAACATGTGTTATCGACAGATGGATGAACAGAGGTAACCCAGTATATATCCCCTTCCTTTGGAGCAGGAGTAAAATATGCAAATAAAATTAAGGATCATATAAAATTACACCAGCTATAACAGCTAAAAAGTGATCAACTGGTATGTGAAGCAAACATCCCAACATACAAGGTAAGCACAATTTTATTGGCATGTATCTAAGCTTACCCTAAGAATGCAAGGGATATCCTTTTTATTGACTTGTATCTAAGCTTACCCTAAGAATGCAAGGGATATCCTTTTTATTCACATGTATCTAAGCTTACCCTAAGAATGCAAGGGATATCCTTTTCATTGGCATGTATCTAAGCTTACCCTAAGAATGCAAGGGATATCCTTTTTATTCACATGAATCTAAGCTTACCCTAAGAATGCAAGGGATATCTTTTCATTGGCATGTATCTAAGCTTACCCTAAGAATGCAAGGGATATCCTTTTTATTGACTTGTATCTAAGCTTACCCTAAGAATGCAAGGGATATCCTTTTTATTCACATGTATCTAAGCTTACCCTAAGAATGCAAGGGATATCCTTTTTATTCACATGTATCTAAGCTTACCCTAAGAATACAAGGGATATCCTTTTTACTGACTTGTATCTAAAGCTTACCCTAAGAATGCAAGGGGTACCCTTTTTATTCACATGTATCTAAACTTACCCTAAGAATACAAGGGATATCCTTTTTATTGACTTGATTCTAAGCATACCCTAAGAATGCAAGGGGTACCCTTTTTATTCACATGTATCTAAGCTAACCCTTAGAATACAAGGAATATCCTTTTTATTGACTTGTATCTAAGCTTACCCTAAGAATGCAAGGGATATCCTTTTTATTGGCATGTATCACATCTGAGGGTAAAACAGCACTAACAGAAAATTCTTCATCTCTGAAAAAGCAACAATAAAGATTTTGTAAAAAAAAATTTTTTTTAATATAATTGCATTTATTCAAATTATTCTGTCCTACAATTCTACTAGCAGATTTTCAAATTCCATTTAAAAAAAATTATCAAAACCCTCTCTATCCAAATTAAAATTACATGAAAAGCGCTGGGAGCTTCACTTTAACCTTTTGTCAACTTGTATCAATTGATGCTTTAAACAAATCCTTACCTCATATCTAAAACTTGTTGAACAACATTTGTAGGCTGATTCCGATCTGGCGGAGTATCATATAAAAATAATTTAAAATCACAGACGACTACAAACTGGCGGGTCCATCCTTTTTTAATTCCTCCTAATCTTGGCACCTACAAAACATAAAACTAACATTTCATTTCTGCAGAATACTTTAACACTACTCCACAACAAAAAACGTTCTATTATTAACCACATTTTTTCAGTAGCCATATTTTGTGGCAAAATTCAGAAGCCAACATGACGTATAGTGGTTCTCAAGAAACTCTGTTTTCACAGGACATCATGAACAAACATCTTCACTGTCCCCTCCTCTCCACCCTTGGCAGATTAAGTCAACACTTGTGATTACAATGCTGCACCATCTACCTATAGATAAAAGTCACGCCCATTACGACATCATTATTCTTGACCAATGGCAGCACTTGAACTCTCTTCAGTATGGAGGTGTAAACATGGTTGTGTCTAGTTTTTACAAAATTTGTGAAGCTGGAACTGTAAATATACCCAGGAACTTCAATTAGGTGGTCAAGAATTTTAAAAATGTTTTGGGGGGTAAAGACTGGTTTAAATTTTCTACATATACGTGTGATCATCTTAAAGGTGCTTTGTGATTGGATGCAGCCAGTTACAACTGTGACCAATGAAAATCATTACCTCTGGGATCCAGAATTCTATCTTAATCTGCCAAGGGTGGAGAGGAGGGGACTGGATCGTAACCCTTGGCTAGCGAAGATGATGAATTAACAGCTTAGATGACAATACATTATTACATCACAAAGATTCAGGAAATTTGATGTGCTTTCCATAGCATATTAATTTTCTCATCTCTATATCAGTAAAAGACAAAGAAAGAAAGAACAGTCTACCCAGTCTGATGATATATGTATAATAAATAAATATTCAATAATTTCCTGCTGAGCATGCTGATTTTGTTAACTATTTCAAACCTGTAAATTCAAAAATTTTTGTAGGCATTTATTATTGAAAGATGGATGAAGATGTGAGATAAATGATTGTGATTTAAAGACATGCAGCATAAAATAACGTTTTCAAAATTTAAAATTCCTGTTTACATTCTTGCAATCATATTTCGTTATAATATAATAATAAAACATTGCAAAAATATTGGAATTAATAGTATCATGAGATGTTACTTTAAGAAAAACACAATTGTAAAGAATAAAAGATTGATTACACATCTAATCTACTAATACAACTCACCCTAACATAACCTTCATACGCTGTACCTATACCCCGGTTAATATCTATACCAACTGGCCTTTTATCTACAATTATACAGTTAATCACCATTACCAATAGTAGTTATATGTCATGTAATGCTACAACAATTAAGGGAAACATTATCTTACTTTATAAGTTACCATGGGTGAGGTATAAGCCTTCCTTTATCCACAAAGACCACAAGGGAGAGAATTCTGTCTCAATTATAAGCGTTTTCAATAAGACAAACAGTCAGTTTTTCATTTTGAATTTGCCCCCATGAAACCTGATAATAAGATATATATATAGGATTTTTGTTCAATGCAGTAAAACATGTATAAATCTTCAACGAATCAGTCGCAGCCAGAGATGAAATTACATTGACTGATTGGTGTTTGCTTTACAAGACTTCAGCATTAAGGGACTAAATCACGACGGCAGATGAAATAACATTGACTGATTGGTGTTTGCTATACAACACTTCAGCATTAAGAGACTATATGACGACGACAGATGAAATTACATAGACTGATTAGTGTTTGCTTTACAACACTTCAGCTTTAAAAGACTATATCACAGCCACAGATGAAATTACATACATACATACAAGTTATTTCAGAATTTGTTTCAAGTAGTTTCAACTCTGTTGCCTGTCTAAGATTTAAACAGAAAAATGTAGACAATAATTAATAACTTCTTTATTATTTAAACTTCTTTTTAACGATGTATGTAATTTAATGGATGAAAAAAATAGCTTCCAATTTTTATGTAAATACACACATGTGGTTTAATTCCATTTTCGGGGAGTAAAATTCATGCAACTTATAATTAAGCCTTTCTTAAATATAACCCCTTAGGTTGTTTCATTAAAACATACATGGTAACCAGGGAAAGCTATTTGAATAAGAGTAACCATATAAATAATTTTAGAGGAGTGCATACATTTTTAATGTTTCAATATGGACAACATATTTCACCTCCCCGCAATAGTGGCAATTTCAAGTTGCCTTCCATGGGTCTCATGTATGTTTTTATGGAACAGCCCTTATGCATAAATATCAGTGCTAGTAGAACTTTGAATGGATGGATCAGTTTTTGTGATTTCTTGAAAAACCAGGGATGCTGTTATTTAAAATATACATTTAGAACATTTCAATCGAAGTACCCTTTTGTATCTAAATACATCTTTTCCATTTGATAATATTTTTTTAATAAACACATAGTCCACAAAAACTGATACCCATGAATCAAAGGATATTCACAGAAACATATTTGTTTATGACAGACTTTCACAAAAGTATATATACTTCCAACAGTGTTTATTTCTAGGAAATTGACCAGAAAATCAATGAATAATGAAGAGACAGTCAATGTAAAGGCTATTCGTAAAAATATGCGAAAGGGGTAGGGCATTGAATAAATATTTTTTAAGACTAACCATGCGTCTAGTTGTAGTAAGAAAATGATTATATTTAGTGTGAAAAGTTGTTCTGAACCCCATTACCCATATGTAATCTACGGAAAATGCCTTCCACCTTCCGTCGCCACATATATACTTTTTTCTTGAATAGCCCTGACTTATAATACAGCTTGCATTCTTTTCATTTGTTGTATATATTATAACCTTAATATAAAATATATATTCTAGCATAATGTACTACGTAAATACCTATAAACTTGGTTCCTGAAACAAAATTTATCTTAACTTTGTACATAAAATTAAATCATGAAAGGATTTTCCCAGAAAAATATATGCAAATTGTTAATAAATGTATAGTGCAGAGTTAAGTTCCTTTGAATAGTATATTGAAGGGTTTTAGTAGCAGTTGAAGGTAATGGGAGACACAATAAGGTCTCCACAGGCGATAAAAAATTGTATAGAAAGCCCTGAACAAATTAAACAAAAGGAAGACAATTCCATAACTGACCAAACAGTTTAGTGGACAGGAATCAATCATACATGTAAATCCATTTGTCCATTTCATCAGATGCACTCAATCATACCACTTAATGACAAAATGAAACCCTACTTTTTTGAGGGTGAATAGTATATTTTCAAATTTACATGATTTATATATGGAGTGCTTAATAGACCCAAATCTCAGCCTTTAATGGCTATATACATAAACAAGCAACTTATAACAAATTCCTGGATTTTATCTATCTAACATGGCATTGCAACTTTTTATCATTAAAACCCAAAAGTGTTGGAAGCCTATCACTTAACTAAATATATGCAAGGTCATGTGACCCATGTAAGATGAACATATCTATCTTATGATGCTTCTATGTACTAATAAACAGCTGCGCCATGAGTGCATGATACGCCCGTCGTCTTGTGTGTGAATTTTTATGCAATAAGCATAAACAGTTTCTGACATACGGCGTGACATGCGAAAACCCCCTTTTTTTTTTTTACAAAAAACTCAATATCTCTAAAATAAAATTTTGAATCAAAACCAAAAAGATTTTTAGATTAATATATCTAAGAAGTGTGTAAAATTTTCAGCAATAATCATAAATCGTTTTTGAGATACATCGTGACATGTGAAAACCCCCCTTTTAAAAAAAAAAAATCAATATCTCAAAAATAAAATTTTGAATCAAAACCAAAAAGTATACAGATCTTTAGATTAATATAACTAAGAAGTGTGTAAAATTTGTTAAGCAATAATCATAAATCGTTTTTGAGATACGGCGCGACATGTGAAAAACCCCTCCCCCTTTTTTTACAAAATACTCAATATCTCTAAAATAAAATTTTGAATCATCACCAAAAAGTATACAGATCTTAAGATTAATATAACTAAGAAGTGTGTAAAGTTTTAAGCAATAATCATAAATTGTTTTTGAGATACGGCGCGACATGTGAAAAAAAACACACACCTGTTTTAGTTACTAAGTCCCGTAACTCAAAAAGTTATAATCTTATTTTCACCAAAAAGTATACAGATTGTTTGACCATCATAAGAAACAACTATGTTAAGTTTCATGAAATTTGGATAAGTCATTCTCAAGTTACGGTGCGACATGTTTACGCCAGACAGACAGACGGACGGACACCGGACATTTGTATATCATAATACGTCCCGTCAAAAATTGACGGGCGTATAAAAATTGTTGACTGTGATTTGCAGTTAGTCTTAATGTGTAATGAGCAGAAGTATAAAATTTCTATCAATGAACCATGAAATTGGGTTAAATATCTAGCTATGGCAAACTTCTATTTTGGCGTAATAAGAGCGTGATATAATGTTCTTACTTTGATCTGGAGGTACAGGACAAACTGACGGAGCTTTCTCCATACAATGTACATGACAGCAGTAACCACACTCTGAAATGAAAATTGTTATTCTGTGACAGAAACATCATCATGTGACATTAAAACAAACATTATGACATTGTTAATTTTAAATTTGTTAACAAGTGAAAGGTCATTACACAAAGTTTAAGTGATATGTCAATCTTTCAGTCTTTTATCTACACTTGTTTTTCAAGGACCTTTCAATTCAAACATGCATGACATCCAAGCATGAAATATCTTGAGTGTTTACTTTTAAAACTGTATGATAAATATTACAATTGCTTCTATGGATAAGTACTTCATTTTCTGATGCACATTTCTTGATACCATGCATGTTTACAAGATACAGCCCTTGTTTTTCTAACATGTTTTTACTCACCTGAACATGTGGTCCCCTGTCTCTGTATTCCTACCATTAATGAGGTACACAGGTTACATTTGTATGGTGCGGAGAAGTTTTTCATGATAAAGTGATGAGTTTTAGGTTGTGGCAATGAGCCTGTTTTAGAAGCACCCCATGGTTGGTCATACACATGTTCTGGTTGAATTATTGGACTAGATTGGTGTGTAACATCAGGGGTATCTGGTGGTGCCCCCATGTGAAGGTCTGACCGTGAGTTTGTACGGGAATCTCCATGTGACTGGCCATCTTCACTCATACTATCATCCTCAACTAGACTTTCATTGTCTGACTGAAATAGTAATGAAAATTTTGCTATGACTGAAATTTAACTTAAACAACAAAGTCAAAAGTAAAATCACAAAAATACTGAACTCCGAGGAAAATTCAAAACGGAAAGTCCCTAATCAAATGGCAAAATCAAATGATAAAACACATCAAACGAATGGACAACAACTGTCATATTCCTGACTTGGTACAGGCATTTTCAAATAGTAAGTAAATAATGATTGCAAAATCTTAACTAAATTCTCAAAATAAATTAAGATATATGTTTTTATTATCTCTGTTTATTTAACTATGAAAAATAATGGATGCTGATTTTTTAAATGTACTTTGAACAAATGTTTTTATAATATACCAAATTTATTTCAAATAAGTTACTTTTAAATATGTATACCTCATATTCTAATGCATTTTCTCTTAAATTCAACTTTTTATTGTTAGCCATCAAATCAACAGTTGACAAATTTTACTCTTTTGAGTCCTCTTGACATTATTACAAAATAAAACATCAACTTCCTCAAAATGATCTAATAAGATTTGACAGTTGCAATCATTCCTTTCACATGCATCAATTAGTGACCTTCAAATTGTTAAATCCCCGTATAATTCTAGCAGCTCCAGCAGTGCCAGTACAGTGATGTGCATGTTTCGTAATGTGTTATAAGGAAAATTCTCACAACTATTGTCAAACATAAACCATTAATCAGATAGCATTATACTCACATCATTTAACAAAGAAAATTGACCTTTGATGAAGCTCATTAATGTCTGCTCTCTTGATCTTTCCCCTGAAAAAGTGGAAAAAGAAATCATAATTCAATAATCTTATATGATTATCCATTCTAACAAAGCAAACCAAATTTTCTACAGCAAAGACCAATGATGGTTATACAGTTTTCTTACAGGAAGTCAAATCTTTTTCCATTCATATAGAGGTGTCTACTATCAGGTGAAACAGTTCAATTCAGGTAACTTTACTTTACACATTATTAACTTGTTCCACCGGAGTTATTTTCGATTCGACAGCATAACGTTGTTTTAAAAAGCTCATGTTCACAACTTCATGTCCTGTAGAATTATATATGTAGGTCTTGTTGAATTCTGTCTATCCATTTTTAAGGAGTTGTGGTTTTACAAAGTGAGTCACCGACACAAGACGGCAGAAGTAATCCCTACGTGTTGCTCCAGTTGTGCACTGTTAAAGTCACTGATAAATCTAATATGCATACATTGACTTCTGGACAACATATACTATGCATTCTCCAGATTTTGCAGAGAAATCCAAATATTATCAAAGTTGTGTTATATATTAGTACTTCATTCTGGTCATGTAGACAGGTAGAGCATAGAATCTTTAAAAGCAAGGTACACAAATTTCATTCAAGAACTTACAAGAGTTGACCAAGCAAATTAATTCCAATGTTTATCTTTAAAAGGTACAAGCCAAGTATGTTACTATCATTTATCCTGTACTAGCATATAATATAAATTACTTGAGAAATTTTAACATTTTTTTTATCAACTTATCAAATTGAAAATGATCTATTTATATATTGCTTCAACATGTTTTTCCAGTAGTAAGAAAGAACCTTCCTTCACCAACAAAACTATAAGCATTCATATGACCACAGTATGATAAAATCCACTTTTATCAGCAACAATTAAAATAATACCTGCTGATGGACATTATTACTTTCCATGCAGAATTCATTTTTGAATGGGATACATAATTTCTTAAAAGTCATATCATTTTCATTGTCATTGCCATTCATTTGGATAACAAAAGCATTAATGTATTATTGGCCCTACGATAGGCTGGCAACTTTTATTGTGACTGGCAGTGTTAAATGTGACAGGGAACAGGTTTAAACGATCAACTAGGAATTCATGTATAGTTATGCAAGGTGGTTATATTAATACATACATGTACAAAGATAAATGCTGAGTAACAAAAAAACTTGGGCATCCTTAGTCCCAACCCAAAATTTCATTTACAACAAGCACCTAGTGAATTATCAACGCTTCATTTTGTGTTCAAATTTATTCTACATTTTAAGATTAGTGAGCAAAATCCTTGTATTAAGCCTGTTCAGATCAACATTTATCCTGTTGAACAATAAAATTGAGAATGGAAATGGGGAATGCGTCAAAGAGACAACAACCCGACCAAAGAGCAGAAAACAGCCGAAGGCCACCAATGGGTCTTCAACACAGCGAGAAAATCCCGCACCCGGTGGCAGGCTACATCTGTCCCCTAAACAAAAATGTGTACTAGTTCAATGAAAATGGACATCACATTAAACTCCAAAACATATAAATGAACTAAAATAAAAAACATACAAGACTAACAAAGGCCAGAGCTAAGCAAAATGACAATGATACATAAATTAACAAAGGACTACTAGCAGTTACTGACATGTCAACTCCAGACCTCAATTAAACTGATTGAAAGATTATGTCTTCATCATATGAAAATCAAGCATAATCCCTCCCGTTAGGGGTTTTGTATCATACCATCATAAAATATATGAGAAGAACATAACCCGTATCATGCCAACAACTGGTTTTAGAATAAACAAACCTATTAAAATCCCTCAAAGGTACATGTTTGATGAGGCCCAATTTCTAGCTTAATTTTACCAATTTTCACAATGTATTATAGCTTTAGAAATGACTAGATAGGAAAGAGGTATTTTGTTTAAAAAAATAACATTTCAGCGTTCTTTTTATGACGCCATAATTAACATACATCCTAATTTTCTACCAAATTCGTTGAAATCATGCAAAATATGTTTTTGGGACCGGAAACATATAGAGCCAAATTTTTTCACACCATGTTTATTGTAACAAATGAAATATCTGACTTGCATATTTAGTTTGTAAAAGCCTGCTCGTTATGTTTTATAGGCCTAATTGTGATTAAAATCCAGACAATTTTGTAAACTTTCACAAAGATATTTATTTTCAACCTTATTTGGGTGTAATTGGTAATCTTTGTAAGAAAAACTCGACAAAAATCAACCTGTTTCACTTTCTTACACATATATGCATCAACTTGAAAGAAATGCTTTTCATCTTGAAATAATGAAATTAATATTTTGGCCGAAATCGGCAATTCTTGAACTTACTCCTTCAGAGTTTCCTGTCCCTTATTAAAGAAAATAGCCAATATAATATATATATATATATATATATGCTAATATCATTCAAGATATATGACTCCTAGCGATAGAAATTCAATGTTTTTGTTCTAAAACTTGTAAGAAATATGTTTAATATTCATGGCTGCAATAAATTTATAATTGGGCAAAAGGTTTAAAATTCTAGTGTAACATAACTGATGTTTGGAATACAGAGATTTCTAGCTACAATATAATTGATGTTAATGTATATACAATGTATTTAATGTATAGTAACAACTGCCAGATATATCCTAGCTAACTATACCTAGCAAGTTGTAGAGAAAGTGTTACAGGCTATTCCATTAAAATGGATGTGAGAGGGTAGAAATGAAAGTTGGGTTGTGGGTAGTTTATATGTCCTTTGTCAAACGCAAAATAAAATACTCAAAGCAAACATGCTGGTTTTTGGTGGGATTTGAGAAGTCCCCTTCCTACGCTCTCACATCCATTTTAATGAAATAGACCTAAAAGATTTACTGGATTTTACATTGAACCATGAAAAATATGTATCATATGAGGTTTTAGATCTATTAGAATGCAGATATACATTGCAGGACCGGCGGTAAGCTAAGCCGGATGGACAAGTTAAAAGCAAGATAAATTGGGTTTATAAATATTAAGCAGCTTTGGTGTATTTTAACTGCATATAGAGCCTTCTTACCTGTATTTCCACTTGCTGAAATCAAACAGAGGACTAAACATTTGCCTCAGAAAATTCAGAATCAATAGAGGATTGACCGTAGTTTTATTACTGACTGGGCATACCAGGAACTTCATTTTACATGTATTTTACAGATTCTATACATAAAAAAATTCAAACACTGGAGAAATTTTAATTTTCAAATGTTAAATATTTACTATTTCCATGTAGGAGTAGAGAAATTTCATACCTCATGAGAAACTTATTTTTCTTACAATTTTGAAAACATTATTATGTTCTTTTCTGGTGTTCTGAAAAAACTTATGTTTGAAACAGCAGCCTTTTTTTGTTTGTTACATCACCATCGAAAGATAAGGGGGAAAAAAACTTTATAATTGATCTTAAAGCATTGAATTGCTCAGAATATTCCTAGCAAATGTTGATTGTCAAAAAATTTCGAAATCTTCTGGGAAAAGAATAAAATAGCATAGAATTAGAGGTATTCACTTATAAAATTTTGCAAATGCTGGGTGTATCAAATTCTACTTAAAAATGTAAAAGGCCTTTAATAACTAAACTATGGCCTATTAAGCAACTTCTTGAAATCTTAATTTCAAAAAGTTTTAAATGTTTCTTGTTATCTATTTAAGGTAGGAGGTCAAAAAGCCAAGGCTATTAGACTATTTATATCTACATCATCTTTTTTTCATTTACATATAATTTAAAAACATTTTATTCTTCAGATTTAAATATTCTTTAAGAAAAACAGAGTTTGTTCAATTCAGTGTTCAACATGCATTCATGATAGAAAAGCATAGTGAAACAAGCAAACATGATATTCCTAACTAAACTAATGAAAATGGACTCGTATAACTGATTTCATTCCTTTTGAAATATTGCAAAAGAAATATTTTTTTTGTAGCTTTATGACATGCCTTCATGAGCACTCAATGTAAAATTAATAAATGAGATGATGCAATATCTTACAATCTGCAATATCTTGTTTCTCTAATAAAGTCTCCTTCTCTTTCCTAAGTTCTTCTACTTCTTTGGATAATTTTTCTATTATCGTGTCCTGTTCATGGTTTTTCCTAAAAAATTAAAGTACAGTTTTATCTGCTCACTGTAATACTAGTACACACCACACTTAAATATAACTTTTACATTAAAGTGTGTCAATACTTCTTATGTTTTACATTAAAGTGTGTAAATACTTCTTATGTTTTACATTAAAGTGTGTAAATACTTCTTATGTTTTATGTTGAAAAACTATTTATTCAAACTTTATTAATCAAATGGTGGACTATATAAAAAATATCGTAAATTTTCCATATCCCTGGATCTATGTATTGAAAATTAAGAAAAAATCCTATGTAAACTAGCTATAATTGACATTAACATGGAAATTATTGTAGAATTTTGTTCCTCGCTAAAAATCACTTCAAGAAATTAAGAACTCCATATTTTGGCTTACTTTTCAAAACTAACAACAGACGATTTTAACTTTGATAATTCATCAGCTATCTGTTGCTTTGCCTGGATTTCACTTTGTAGACTAGACTGTAGTGTAAGTAGCTCCATCTTGTCAAGTCTCTGAGATCTACGGTTTCTCCATCTCTGCCGATTCTGTACAATATATACAGTTAAAAATAAAAACTTTTTAATAAATACAATAAATAATTAATCAATAAGTTTTAAGATTTAATAATTGAAAAAAGTCGATTTCTAAATTTTTTTAACAAAGCTTGTGAGGGTAGTTATTTTCAGAGTTGGAGTACAGAGCAACATGACAGGTAAAGCATGCAGAGCAGAAATTATTAACCAATCCAGGGCATCTTTTATTTATTTTTTCATTGTCCAAGTTTTAATTTTCTTGAATCTTTTTTGGTTAAATGTCTACTGCTTTCATTATTTTTAGTTTAGTGTGTAGGCATAAGTGTCTGTCTTTTGAGTGCAACCATTCCATTAGACATGGAATAAATAGAGAGATGACACTATGATTTGGCGTCTATAAAACAATTCAGAACATAAATGTTAAAATTACTTCTATGAAAAAAAAATATCCATTTTTAACGTTTGTTTCACATTTAAATGGACCCAGCTATGTATGCTTATGGGTTTCCAAAATTTGTTTGCATTCTAAATTAGTGGTGTTATTAAACCAAAAATGAATGTTACACACATTGCTGTATTAAAATATAAACTTACAGAATCATCAGAAACACCCATTACTTTAAGGTTCTCCAATTCCTCTGTCATTTTGGTAGCCAAGGCCTGGAGATAACCTCTGGCATCCTTCTCATCACTCACCCTACAAAACCATCAATTCATTAGGTCAATTCAAATCCTATTGTGCCAAAATCACAAAATTTCTTCACAAGAAATTGTTAAAATCAAATCTCTGATAAAAATCTTCCTAAAATAGTAAATCTGATCAGACATATACATGTACATGTATCTCCTCTTCTATTTGTTTATTTTCTATATATTAAATCCGTTCCATGACTTTTTTTTTATGAAAGATGCGTCATTGTTGGGCTTCTCTAGTGTTAAAACTCACTAGTGATTACTTCATAATATATAAGCAAATTTAGAAAACCCTGTCAGGGAGAAGACAAAGCCTACAAGTGTTCTATTACTTTTTTAACTTCTAGTCATTTTAAAATAATCCCTTCTAGCAACGATGAAATGCTTTATTAAAATCTTTAAAAACAACTTTTATGACACTTTTTATCTTTAAAAAAGCTCGAAGGATAAATGATTTTCCTATTGAATAGTCATTGCAATTATAATTTGAACCTACTGTTGCATTACAAGCAATTCCATTTCTGGTCATACAAATCTGTTATTTTTCAATCTTAATTCAATGATTTCAAACTAAAAATGAAAACAGTTAAAACTGAGCTGAATCATAGACCATAATTACCATTTGATGATTTCTGAGATTTGAGCCTCCCATTGAGCTACAGATTCTCGTTTATCATAAATGTCTCTCATTTCTTGTTCTAACTGCATCTTTTCCTTGTTCATAGCTCTCAAAGCATTCTCTTGCTGCAATAAAACCAAAATCAAATTATAATTGATAGTTCTTAATCACATATATTTTTTTTTTTAAATATTTGAAAACTCTCAAAATGTGAAGTATCTTATTTTGCAAAGACAGCATATTTTCTTTTAATCTTTACCTACAGACACATTTTTTCATCACCTTCTCCAACACAAAATTTCTGCTCACTTGTATATATCATTTGATTGATTGTTGGTTATTGTTTAATATTTATAGACCATTTCCCCCCAACACCTAACCTACCAGTTTTTCCTCTTACTCCTAAATGGTATATTAACTAATTTTCACCACTTTTACTAGTATAAAAAAAAAGCTCCAATATAAACTGTCTCAAATATGTCAAACTTTGATCTTCTCTTCTAAGAATACAAAAAACATTAGAAATCGCAAAAATGTATGCTCCAAATTCTGCTAGAAAGGGCTAAACACGAAAAAAAAAAATTATCATTGAAAATTGGTTAACAAGCTTAGAACAAAGTAACAACCACAAATTTTACTCTTTGGTTTGACTTCCCCAGCATCTAACCCACAACAAGCATTTGCGACAAGAATGTCTTCAGATAACCAACAAAAAGGTTATCCCATAGTAATACTATACTTACTGATGAGATTTCTTCTTTTAACCTTTCATTTTCCTCTCCTATCAATGCATGCTGTCTCTCTGAATGTTCTAATTGTAACTTTAACCTTTGAATTCTACTTGCGACCTCATCCTCTGACACATTATTTTTTAATTTGTCTTTTAACGTCAATATTTCTTTCCTTAATTCTTTATCCTTATGTTCATGTTCACTTAATGAAAATTTTAAATCACTTATTTCTGACTGATATTTGCTAGTCACTCTAGAAACTGTTTCTTCCTTATCGACTTTAGTCTTCTCTAATTGTGATTTTAATCTGAAAAAATAAAGATCACACATTAAACATAGAGACAAACCCGCACGAAGTAAAACTACTTATTTGTTTTATAGCAACTTGTCGCACCACTAAATTTATAAGGGATAATCTTAATTTTAGGAAGATGTCAAAATCAATTTACATTTTAACCCTAATCCCCTCTAGAAACATATTGCAGACATACAATTTTGATACTCCATAAAATGTATTTAACAAAAAATAAAACTAGAAAAAAACTAATAGCATAGATCACAAATCTATACCCACACTCTACTCTTTTTAAAGATATGGCAATGTCAGTGTTTTTCTAATTGCTATTGAAAACTCCAAAAATCTGTTGGATCAAAACTTAAATAGGTGCGCAATGCTTTATAATAAAATTTCGTGAAAGTGTCATCATAGAAATCCTGTTCTTCGTTTAGGAAGAGTTGCAGATACTAAATAAGGAATGACAATCATTATACACCTCCACTTCAGTCACTTCAGTTAGCAGGGATACAAACAATCCCATTTATAATCTATACTTTACCTTGAGACTTCCTGTGTTAATTCTATATTTGCTGGATTAGATGCCCTCCCTAAGTTTTTCCTTTTGATGCCCTCTATTTCTTGTTCTAACTCTCTAGTGTACTGTTCAGCCCTCTCTCGTAATTTCTTTTCTTTACTTGATTCTGATTTAAACTCTTCTAAATGGTTTTGTAACTGTAAAATACAAATATATAATAAATATAGTAATTTGATTTGATTTTTGGTGTTTTAACGCCACTTATAAGCACCGCTTATGGGCTATTTCGTGGCGGCCAGTTTTTATTGGTAGAGGAAGCCGGAGTACCCGGAGAAAACCACCGACCTTCGGTAGGAAAACTGACAATCCTAGTCAATTAAGATTGGAGTCGAGTGCACCCGCACGAGCGGGGTTCGAACTCACAACCTCAGTGTTGACTGGCTAGTGATTACAGCAGTAACTACTTAGACCACTCGGCCACCGAGGCCAAAAATATAGTACTCTTCAATTCTAATTGTTATCATAAATTTGACAAAAAGATTGTATAAATGCAAAAGAGTCAAAAAGCCAACAACACAAGTTCATCATAACTAGGCACACTACAGCTTAGATGGATTTTGTTATATCCACCCATACACAGTAGAAGTGGGAAATCTTTTTGTTGGTCCCTTATGTCCACTCTCTTGAGACATGACATTTCTTTTTCTGTCATCATAAAGCTTATGCAGATACACTACCTTGGAGCAATGAGCTCTGCTTTTGTATTCTATTGTATTTAATATTGGAACAAAATGTTCCATTAAATGTTGGTGGATAATTGTCCGTTCTCTAGGGCCAAGGAAATGGCATAATCCACCTTAACATTACAGTGTATAGTATAAAGGTCAATATTTATGGAAAAGTGCATGAGTCACATGGTTAGCTGAAAATGGACCCGAATCTAAACAAGATGTTCAACAGACATGACAAAATATCAGGAATCCTGTTCTGGAGCAGCTGCCAAAATGGTTATACATGACCAAATTAAAATGTCGCTGAGAAATTCTAAACAACTCCATGTAATACTCGATGCAAGGCAAGTATTTCTAAATACTGTACTAAGATTCTGATCATTTTATGTCTAAAAACAAAAAAAGATATATTACACTAGTCAAACAGTATTATTTTGTTCATTATATAAATAACTTTAAAAATATGATATTTTTTTCAGGACTATTATTACCTCAGACATGGATTTCTCAATTCTTCTTCGTTCATTCTTCATACTATCCAATTTCCTCTTGCTCTCATCTACCTCATCTTCTTTGTTCCGTAATTCTCTTGTTAGTTCTTTTACTTTGGATTGGGTCTTTAAAAGTCTGCACAAAATGAAAAATATTTTTCATGCATATTAAGTCATCTCATAAACCAATTATCAAAGTAAAATCACCTTCAATCACCCTGTTTCACAGTGATTCACTCCACATCTGTGATTTTAACTGAATCAACTTATACATCTATATCAAGGCTTCCAAAACGGTCATATATTCCGGACATTTGTATAATGTCCGGTAAAAGTCTGGCTGGGCAAAGCATGAAACGGTCATCTATTTTTTAGTTTTCAAGGCTTTCTTAAGAGACGGTCATTTTAACATAATTCACGATCTTTTTGACCCAACCTTTTGCCTTAAACAGCCACACATTTCCGGTCATAAAAGTGACATGATCATTAAGTACTATCTAAACAACCCCTTCTTTAATACCTTCTCATTTTAATCAAGGCTAATTAATCACCTGTTCAGGTGACAGGTAAACTATTTTGAACCGGACATTGATCGGTCTATTCAAAGTTATTTTCTTACATTTCAGCGGTTTGCATCTAATTAATTTAGTCAAAAAGATTTAAATTATCAGAAATATGTTTACAAATATGATTTGATGAAAAAAATAAATAGGAGAAAATGAAAAATCATCATAACCACGTTGTTTGAACCAGAGACATGTCTCTGTTTGAACTATTACACGTATGCGCATGTGCGCAGGTGTGAAATTTATTTATGCATCCTAATTTCTTCAAAAATGCTTAAATTGTCATTGATACCTTTATCTCACGTTTATTTCGAATATTTTCTTGAAGAAATAACGTAGGAAGAGCTGCTTACACTCATTCATGCTTTGCAAACGTACACGGAATTTACGTATCCGTCTCTGGTCCATGTTTTACCATTGTCAAGATAACATCCGGTAAAAACGAAAGTAAAGTTTTTGACAACGTTATATTTTGCACAAATAAAGAATCTAAGGCAGACATAAGTACGCTAATGTTGCACACTTCGAATGATGCACTGCCAATTTAACAATTTACGTCAGAACTTCGAATTTGAATCAAAGAAAGTTTAATATCATTTTTTTTAATGTCAATCATTGGGATGGTCAACTCGGCAACTGATTACCATAATTGCCTTTTGTTTATTTAGTCTTCTCTTAAGGGATTAAAATCAGAATCGTAAATAAAATGTCCGGCTGGCTAAAAATAATTTTGGAAGCCCTGATCTATATACATGTTATTAGTTTCAAACACACACACAACAGTTTTCTCCCAAGGGCCTATAAAAATCATGGCAATGTGACTCTATATTGTTTGAATGTGATGCTATGTGAAATGATTTTCTTTTAGATTGTGTTATGGATGTGATGCTATGTGAAATGATTTTCTTTTAGATTGAATTATGGATGTGATGCTATGTGAAATGATTTTCTTTTAGATTGTGTTATGGATGTGAAGCTATCTGAAATGATTTTCGTTCAGATTGAATTATGGACGTGATGCTATAATTCCTAAAACAATATGGTATTTCAATTTCTCTGTTTACAAGGATGCTATATGAAATCTGTGGGAAGAACACTCACACATACGTTAACAGAGGACATACTGTATAAAAAAAAATTGTTTGCTAATTTGTTGTCGAAAATGATGATTTTTCTTTAATGTTTCTTGATGCCTTTTGATAATTCTATAATAAGCTACAGCTTAGTTTTTTAAGATAACCAACTAACAATTTACTTACGAATCATTTGTATCTGTGTACTGTTCTATTGTTATTTTTTGTTTTGCTAAAGCTTCCTTTAATTCTCTAGACTGTTGTTTATACTTGTCTCTGAAATCTTGCAATTCCTGTAGAATAAAAAGTTACTATTGATACATTTGCTAATGAATGCACCTTCAACAAGTGAAAATACTTCAAAATTATTAAACAACTTTTCTGTGTTAATCATATTCATGAGGACCAATCTTCAAGAAGTCAGGGAAAATGATATTTCCTTGGCTATTGATTTCTTTGTTTTGAAGTGTCTTACATTTCATTACTGCATATTTAATTTCATGGCTTGTATGAACCAATGAAGTCCATTAAACATATGAACAATAATGAATCCACATAATTGTCTTTTGGATGTTAACTATGTTAAATTTCATGTAATGATAAACTCTTCAAATTACTTTGTGAATTCACAGTAAAATTCTTCATTTAATTAACAATCAATCTCTTTTTCCCCTCTACATGAAACTTTGAAGATGCATTTAAAATATGAATAAATAAGAAAATAAGTATCAAGAAAAATGTACTTAAAACAATTCAACTGAAGATTACTTTTAGTTATTATATTTCCCTGAAATATTATTAGATATACCATGGCCTTTCTTTTATTGATCAAAATATCTACTTCAACATTATAATTACATCATTTAAAATAACATATAGAATAAAATGCTCCGCAGGGCGCAGCTTAATACGACCGCAGAGGTCGAACCCTGAACAGTCGGGGCAAGTATGGACACAACATTCAAGCTTGATATAGCTCTGAATTTGGATTGTGATTAAATATTTGACACAGCATAGGTTTCTGACACAGAATGAATGTGGTCTAAGAACTTAAAAATTTTAAATTGGACATTCACCTATTATGGTCCAATATCCAAAATCTAAATACATGGTTAGATTCAGCATATCAAAGAACCCCAAGAATTCAATTTTTGATGAAATCAAACAAAGTTTAATTTTGGACCCTTTTGACCTCAATGTGGACAAAGTTGATAACGGGGCCCAAAAATCAAAAATTTAAATACATGGTTAGATTCAGCATATCAAAGAACCCCATATATTCAATTTTTGTTGAAATCAAACAAAGTTTAATTTTGGACCCCAATTTGGACCAACTTGAAAACTGGGCCCATAATCAAAAATCTAAATACATGTTTAGATTCAGCATATCAAAGAACCCTAAAAATTCAATTTTTGTTAAAATCAAACTAAGTTTAATTTTGGACCCTTTGGACCTTAATGTAGACCAATTTGAAAACGGAACCAAAAATTAAGAATCTAAATACACGGTTAGATTCGGCATATCAAAGAACCCCAATAATTCAATTTTTGATGAAATCAAACAAAGTTAAATTTTGGACCCTTTGGAACTCAATGTGGACCAATTTAAAAATGGGGCCCAAAATCCAAAAACTTAATACATGGTTAGATTCAGCATATTAAAGAACCCCAAGAATTCAATAATAAAACCCCATTGAAATTGATCAAGAAATAAGCAATTTATACGAAGTATCTTTTTTTGCACAATACTGTGCAATTGAATATTTCTTGCTATTGCGCAATACTGTACAATTGACAATTTCTTGCTATTGCGCAATATTGTGCTATTGGATATTTCTTGCTATTGCGCAATACTGTGCAATTGAAGATTTCTTGCTATTGTGCAATACTGTGCAATTGAAGATTTCTTGCTATTGTGCAATACTGTGCAATTGAAAATTTCTTGCTATTGCACAATACTTATCATATAATAATTTACACATCCTGTTTGGTGTGTATCTCCTACCATATCATTATTATTTGCTTTTAAATATTAATCAGAAATAACCAACTTAAAATGGAAAATTTTAAAAGAAAAAAAAAAGGAAAAAAAAAAAAGAAAAGAAAAACAAAAAATCCCCCCTCCCAAATTTTTTGAACCCCCTTATGATTCATCACCCCAAACTCAATACCAGCCTTCCCTTTGTGGTATGGTACCTTGCAGTACAATTTCAGAGAGATCCATACACTTGAACACAAGTTATTGTCTGGAAACTAGAAAAATGCTTATTTTTGGCCCCCAATTCCTAAACGTTTAGGGCAATTACCCCCAAACTCAATTCCAGCTTTCCCTTTGTGATATGGAACCTTGTAGTACAATTTCAGAAATATCCAAACACTTACACACAAGTTATTGTCATGAAACTAGAAAAATGCTTGTTTTTTGCCCCTTTTTTGGCCCCTAATTCCTAAAATTTTGAGGCAATTACCCCCAAAATCAATTACAGCCTTCCCTTTGTAATATGGAACCTTGTGGTACAATGTCAGAGAGATCCATACACTTACACACAAGTTATTGGGTGGAAGTTACAAAAATGCTTATTTTTGGCCCCTTATTCCTTAACTGTTGGTACCATAACCCCCAAAATCAATCCCAACCTTTCTTTCGTGGTATTGAACCTTATGGTAAAATTTCATGGAGATCCATTCACTTAAACTAAAGTTAGAGTGCGAAAACCAATGTGTCTTCGGACGACGCCGACGCCAATGTCATACCAATATACGACCAAAAAATTTTTAATTTTTGCAGTCGTATAAAAACAGTATCAGCCAGATTTTTTTTAATAAATTACCTTTTCTAATGCATTTTTCTCCTCCTCTATCAGTTTTATTTTTCTTTCTATTTCCTGCCTGTTGTCTTGAGCTCTCTTCAATTCTTGTTCAATAGCACTAATTTCTGTCTGAGACTCTGTAAAAAAGAAAAATTAATTAATAAATCTTTCTAATGTAAAGTATTTTTAAAGAATAAACCAAACAAACAAACAAAACTTTTGGTCTCTGGTGGAGAGTTGTCTCATTGGCAATCAAACCACATCTTCTGTCTCTGGTGGAGAGTTGTCTCATTGGCAATCATACCACATCTTCTGTCTCTGGTGGAGAGTTGTCTCATTGGCAATCAAACCACATCTTCTGTCTCTGGTGGAGAGTTGTCTCATTGGCAATCAAACCACATCTTCTGTCTCTGGTGGAGAGTTGTCTCATTGGCAATCATACCACATCTTCTGTCTCTGGTGGAGAGTTGTCTCATTGGCAATCAAACCACATCTTCTGTCTCTGGTGGAGAGTTGTCTCATTGGCAATCAAACCACATCTTCTGTCTCTGGTGGAGAGTTGTCTCATTGGCAATCATACCACATCTTCTGTCTCTGGTGGAGAGTTGTCTCATTGGCAATCAAACCACATCTTCTGTCTCTGGTGGAGAGTTGTCTCATTGGCAATCAAACCACATCTTCTGTCTCTGGTGGAGAGTTGTCTCATTGGCAATCATACCACATCTTCTGTCTCTGGTGGAGATTTATCTCATTGGCAATCATACCACATCTCTTCTGTCTCTGGTGGAGAGTTGTCTCATTGGCAATCATACCACATCTTCTGTCTCTGGTGGAGAGTTATCTCATTGGCAATCATACCACATCTCTTCTGTCTCTGGTGGAGAGTTATCTCATTGGCAATCATACCACATCTTCTGTCTCTGGTGGAGAGTTGTCTCATTGGCAATCAAACCACATCTTCTGTCTCTGGTGGAGAGTTGTCTCATTGGCAATCAAACCACATCTTCTGTCTCTGGTGGAGAGTTGTCTCATTTGCAATCAAACCACATCTTCTGTCTCTGGTGGAGAGTTGTCTCATTGGCAATCATACCACATCTTCTGTCTCTGGTGGAGAGTTGTCTCATTGGCAATCAAACCACATCTTCTGTCTCTGGTGGAGAGTTGTCTCATTGGTAATCATACCACATCTTCTGTCTCTGGTGGAGAGTTGTCTCATTGGCAATCAAACCACATCTTCTGTCTCTGGTGGAGAGTTGTCTCATTGGCAATCAAACCACATCTTCTGTCTCTGGTGGAGAGTTGTCTCATTGGCAATCATACCACATCTTCTGTCTCTGGTGGAGATTTATCTCATTGGCAATCATACCACATCTCTTCTGTCTCTGGTGGAGAGTTGTCTCATTGGCAATCATACCACATCTTCTGTCTCTGGTGGAGAGTTATCTCATTGGCAATCATACCACATCTCTTCTGTCTCTGGTGGAGAGTTATCTCATTGGCAATCATACCACATCTTCTGTCTCTGGTGGAGAGTTGTCTCATTGGCAATCAAACCACATCTTCTGTCTCTGGTGGAGAGTTGTCTCATTGGCAATCAAACCACATCTTCTGTCTCTGGTGGAGAGTTGTCTCATTTGCAATCAAACCACATCTTCTGTCTCTGGTGGAGAGTTGTCTCATTGGCAATCAAACCACATCTTCTGTCTCTGGTGGAGAGTTGTCTCATTGGCACTCAAATCACATCTTCTGTCCCTGTTGGAGATTTGTCTCATTGGCAATCATACCACATCTTCTGTCTCTGGTGGAGAGTTGTCTCATTGGCAATCAAACCACATCTTCTGTCTCTGGTGGAGAGTTGTCTCATTGGCAATCAAACCACATCTTCTGTCTCTGGTGGAGAGTTGTCTCATTTGCAATCAAACCACATCTTCTGTCTCTGGTGGAGAGTTGTCTCATTGGCAATCAAACCACATCTTCTGTCTCTGGTGGAGAGTTGTCTCATTGGCAATCATACCACATCTTCTGTCTCTGATGGAGAGTTATCTCATTGGCAATCATACCACATCTCTTCTGTCTCTGGTGGAGAGTTGTCTAAATTGGCAATCATACCACATCTTCTGTCTCTGGTGGAGAGTTATCTCATTGGCAATCATACCACATCTCTTCTGTCTCTGGTGGAGAGTTGTCTCATTGGCAATCATACCACATCTTCTGTCTCTGGTGGAGAGTTATCTCATTGGCAATCATACCACATCTCTTCTGTCTCTGGTGGAGAGTTATCTCATTGGCAATCATACCACATCTTCTGTCTCTGGTGGAGAGTTGTCTCATTGGCAATCATACCACATCTTCTGTCTCTGGTGGAGAGTTGTCTCATTGGCAATCAAACCACATCTTCTGTCTCTGGTGGAGAGTTGTCTCATTGGCAATCAAATCACATCTTCTGTCCCTGGTGGAGATTTGTCTCATTGGCAATCATACCACATCTTCTGTCTCTGGTGGAGAGTTGTCTCATTGGCAATCAAACCACATCTTCTGTCTTTGGTGGAGAGTTGTCTCATTGGCAATCAAACCACATCTTCTGTCTCTGGTGGAGAGTTGTCTCATTGGCAATCATACCACATCTTCTGTCTCTGGTGGAGAGTTGTCTCATTGGCAATCAAACCACATCTTCTTATTTTTGTATTTAGACTATAAATGATCAGAATAGAAAGTCTTTTCCTTCAAATTAATATTCAATCTTTCTTCAACAGCTTCTGTCTTAAAAAGTTGAAAGGTAATTGATTTCCCTTGTACTGATCATTTAATCAATTTCAAGTTTAGCTGGTTAACATGTGTATTGCTTTTCATTTATTTCATAAGCATGGACCCTGTATTCATTAATTTTGTAATGCACATGGAGCCATACCAGTTCAGTCTTTATGTGTCAACATAAGTGGGTGAACATAGATTTGTTCTTAACAGCAAAATAAAATGAATTCTAATAGAGATCAGTAGTTTACCTGCAACAACTTTATGTAAGACAGCAATTTCTTCCTTCAGATGTCGAGACTCTGACTCTGATGCTCCTGAAGCTGCTGCACCACTGGCTTCTGATGATAACCTCTGAACTGTTACACTTGATTCTACAATATAATTATACTAGTGTCAAGTCAATATTTCTACCTATTTTTTATTATTGTATAGACTTGTTTATAATGCTATTGTAAAAATATTTTTATTCATGTGGTAAATTTGTTGTGTGGTTTCCATATCTCAATAAAACTTTAAATTCCTATAGCCAACAAAAGATTGATTCGAAGTGTAAAAAAAAAATGAATTTCTGAATTCAGAATGAATGAACCCATCTATACTTTTTTACAATTATGACAACAAAAAAGAGAGAAAACACAGACAATGGAATCTATCAATAAAAATTGTCAAAGTTAAAATCCTTCACATGACAAACCCAATGTCCCTTCTAAAATATCAAATTAATTCTATCACTTTTTACCACTTGACAATTAGGTAAAACTGATGATTTTCCTTTTTTAATCACATGCAACATTCAGTTTTTTGTCTGTCTTTCTCTGAATTTATAAATGTGCACCTTTGTCACATTTTCCCACTGGCATTACAAATAAGATTGATTGTTGGTGTTAAACATCACTTTTAGCACTCTAAACTGCCAAATGTGATTGGTGTAGGAAGCCAGAGTGCCTGGAGATAATAACTGACCTTTGACAGAAAAACTGGCAGTCCTAGTTAAGATCACCTGTCATGAGCTGGATTCGAACTCACAACCTCAGTGTTGACAGTAGATGGACAACTTAGACCACAGGGCCAATGAGCTCTCTCCCAAATGGCTAAATACAAACAGATCTTGACTTGCAGTGATTACCTACCTTGGAGTTTCCTTTTCAACTCCGTGTTTTCTCTGTCTAAATTTTTAATTCTCCTTTCAAATGCCTCTACAGCTAATGATTCAAGATTAGATGGATCAATATCACCAACGTCTTGAAGGTTACCCAGATCAGAAATTTGACTGAAAATGAAAATATGATCATAGACTTGCAATATAATATATAATTACATTTTTTAACAAGCCATCTTTACTTAAAATGAAATAAGCATAACCCAAAAAAAAATCTGAAAACAGGAAATAGGTATCTGACAAGTCTGAAAACAGGAAGTAGGTAACTGACAGATCTGAAAACAGGAAGTAGGTATCTGACAGATCTGAAAACAGGAAAAAGGTATCTGACAGATCTGAAAACAGGAAGTAGTAATGTTTACATGGTACAACTCATCACTATCAGGCTGCTGACTAAATACCTTAGAAAAGCTTGTATAGTCCGCGGTTTTATTCTCCAAAATTGGACCTTCCAGACGGGGTGGGGACTATAGAGTACAATAAGCAAGAAATAAGATTTTTTCAAACTAATAATTTTAACTCATCCATATTAATAAGTTATTTCTATTCAATATCAAATTAATACTGATAAATATAAAAACGAAACCTTTCATTACAAGTTTCTCGTTTCTTTTCAATGCATTGGTTGAAATAAACTGGTATCTGCTTGATTGAAACGATTCAAACATAGTGAAAAAGACAACCGTAAACCAGCTTAGAATTTGTAAACTACAAAACGTAATCGGTTATTGTTCGTTCCGTTTTGGTGTTTCATACTGACTAATATGGTTTGTATTAGCTTAAGACCCTTCAAACATTAATGTGATAGATATATTAAAGACTGTTTTACAAAAGGATTGAACTGTTTTACTTTCAAAGTTGTATTATAGTGATATCTGTTATGTACGGATTTCGAGTCTCACCGGTTAATTTCTTCTTTTACACGTGCTTTTTAAACTTCCTGTTTAAACATACACAAGTTTCTAAATTGTTTTTTAAGTGAATTAAACTTATTTTAACAATCATGAAGCGTTCTAGAATCATTTACAAGCAGTTTCAGCTTCTGTTTGATGATGGAAAACAGGTTTTTCCAAGAAAATACCGCAAACGACCGCACAGGATTTGAAATTACCGGAGTTTCATTAGACCTTTTCTAACAGTTACAAAAAGTTTTTTTACCTAAAATTTCGTATGGAGAAGGGGGTGCGGACTATGTACCAGTGCGAACTATACAAGCCTTTCTACGGTAGTCGTTCTGTTTAGTTGCAGAGAGGAAAGTGTGAAGGAAATTTATTCTAAGGTGTTTTTACTAAACAGTTCAAAAATACATTGCAATCAAGAACCTTTATTCTTAATCAATATCGTTCATTTTAAGATTGCTATACTTACCTATGAGAGGTAAAAGTAAATCCTACAAATGGTAAATGATGACCAGTAAATGTAGCATTTGTCGAGGGCGGTATAGAATCCTGCAAAAAACAAATTTTATATCACTTAAACATCTTTCTTCTATACAAATGAATTATAATGACTGAACAACCTATTTGTCCTGTGTTTTTTTTCATTTAATGATGGCTGAACAATTTATTTGTCCTGTGTTTTTTTTTCATTTAATAATGGATGAACAATCTATTTGTCCTGTGTTTTTTTTTCATTTAATGTTGGCTGAACAATCTATTTGTCCTGTGTTTTTTTTTTTTTCATTTAATGATGGCTGAACAATCTATTTGTCCTGTGTTTATTTTTATTTAATGTTGTGTCAATGAAATGCCGACATGATGAAAGAATTAAAAGGCTGTGTCCCACATAATGATTTTTAAGCAAAAGCCGTGTTAAGTTAATTCAATGTGATCATAATAATATAGTAAATGAAATAAAATTTTGCATTCAAATATCTTTAAGAATTATGGTATCTTTGACTACAATCAAAGTGGAGTTGTCATATATATATTCAAACTGAAGAATAAATCAAACCACAAGTTATGAACTTATTGTAGCTAAACAAATGTAATGTTCCAGAGCAGGAAAAAATCACAAAACCCATTGAGATCATTATCAGAAATTTACTGAATAAATAGTGTCCTGAAGTTTCGCAACGTCATGTTTGTTTTGCATAAAACATCCATGTTTTTTTAATGATCTTAAGGACAATTATAATTGCAAACAACTAAAACTTCATTGGAATGCTCATAGTTCACTTTATTTAGTTTACAAAGAAAACCATTTTCCTTATCTACATGAATTACTTTCATTGTAATTGTCGTAATGTTGGGTTCTCAATGCTCTTCACCATGAATTTATTCTGCTTTTTTAAAAGGTTTTTGATTCAAGCATCACTGATTAGTCTTTTGTAGACGAAATGTCGGTTTGGAGTACAAAATTTTAATACTGGTATCTATGATGAGTTTATTGACTATTGTTGACAAACAGTTAATATTTATATATTTATGTATCTTCACAACTCACAGTATGTGTAAAGTCTGAGTCATCTACATCAAAATTGGATGTGTCTGTTGGACTGCTAACTTCTGGCACATAAGGAGCATTCACTGAAATTGTCCAGAAAATACGTATAAATTTATACAAAATGTATGTATATATATATATATTATGTTCATGAAACAAATTTTAACAGGTATTTTAAAACAAATTATGAAATGTGGGTAGAAGACACCAATTTATGATCAAAGAAAAGTCTCTGGATAATTCAGAGTTTGACTTATGTATATAAAACTATCCATTGTTAACGCTCCATATTAATCTTGAGATGCCTTTTTTGTGTACTAGAATGGTTGACGAAAATATAGAAATATGTCCACTGTTCTACCAGTAAAACCCTTGAAGTAAAAAGTGTGGCATTTGTTTTGCTGTACAAGATGTATAAATTTGCAGCCGAATCCTGTCAGAATGGGGAAACTTAACCTAATAACTTTTGTAGAGTTAATGGTAAGCTCTCTGCCTGTTGAAAAATCCTTGCAACAACATTTTGAGGGGTCTGTATGCGTCCTCTCATGGCAAAATTTCTGTCCCTATCCAACATACCTTTATTTTCCAGTGAAAGACCCTATTATCCAACCTTCACCTTGGGTGTCAAAAATTGCAGATCCTACCTTTTGTATTTAAAAATTGTTAATTTATTCTCATCCTAAATATTCATGAAATAATTGCAACTGGATGACAAGCAAATAATCAATCTAGTTGTCTCACTTTTTCTTTAAATAAACTAGTTTTGGGATGTACGGACAAGGTTAACACTTAATGCCCCCTCTGGTGTGGCGGGGGCATAAACTTTGCCACTGGATGATAAGCAAGCAAGCAACAATCAACCTAGTTTTCTCACTTTTTTTTATAGTCTTTGCTCATTATTTTCTATTCTGTAAACCCCCATCCTGACCCTCATATATGAAATAAGTAATACTGTGCAACAGAGAGGTACTAACTTTCTCTAATGTTTTCCCAGTCAATACCAGAAAACCAAGGGTGTTGTTTGAATTCATCCAGACCAGTTCTACCAAATCTAAGGTCAGCACTACATATCAATTTCTTTATTAAATCTGTGGCATCATCACTGATCTCTATATCGCAGGGAAATTCAAAACGGGACTGAAAGACAAAAATATATTTAATGTTCAACTCTTATACATATAGCTCATCTTGTAAGTTCTAATGCATTGTATATAACTATAGCATGCTACTAACTAGATTAAAACAAAATTTATGATGTTATCATTGAAATTTTGAAAGCAAACACAGCTGACTTTTAATCTTTATGGTAATACAGTAAATACTGGTTTTTGAAATTTCTCATTGAATATTCAATTAACATGATAGAAATATTTTTGAAAGGTTGGAAATAAGATAATTGTAATTAAAGAAAATAATTTGTTTCACTGCAATTCATAAAACACCAGTAAAAGTGGTCTATAAATCAATGAACTTATATACTGTATGCTACGTTATGGAGACTGTCCATATTTTCATACTTTGGCTAAGTATTCTTTGTATGACCCGTCTCCATGCTCTGAAACATGGAAGTCCCTTCAAATTAAGGTACTACTTGTATTATCAACAAACTGGTAAGATTATTCCATTACGAAGTGTGGGACGGAGTAGGAAGGGCACTTCTATTTTAGATGTGTTGTTTGTCATTTATACTTGTACGTCAATTTGATGTGTGCAAAATAACTCCAATAAAGTATGTTGGTTTTTGGTGGACATTGCAAGCCCCTCCTATCTTTCCACATTCATTTTATTGGAATAGCCATATTAACAAGTAAGTGTATTTATACTAATTTACCTGATGATTCATAATTTTTCCATATGTTTCTACCAGAGATTCAGCATAGAAAGGTGTTTCTCCTATTAACATTTCAAATATACAAACACCTAATGACCACCAATCACATTCAGGACCGTAACGACCATGTCCATCTTCCATTGCCTACAAAAAATATTTCATAGTTTATAAACTTATAAACATTAATTTTTTTTATAGCATTTTGAACTTTCCCTGTATCTCACCCAGATTACAACATAGAATTGCAATCTGGATGATACAGCAAAGTTTCAAATTGCTACAAGACTTTCATAAACCCAATAAAACTAAAGAACCTTTTTTGGTATGGACAATTAATCTCTATACTTCAGATTGTCTATCTTTGACCAACATGTCTGATCATATTTCATATATTTTATTTCAATGTAATATATTTTGAAACATTTGTATAATTAATATTACAATGTATGTATACTATATGCTTGGAAATAGGCCCTTTAATTGGATTTAATCAAGTATTTGTATTGGTATTTTTATACATAATCAATGGCTCAGCTGTATTACTGAAACATTTCAACTACTATCATTTCTTTCCATGGGTATCCTCAATATAATATGTGTTTAATAAGAATGCTATAATTCCTCTTCCTTGATAACGTGGCAATTTGAGCATATATTCTACAAGATGTAAATTCAGTGATTTATTTAGAACAAAAATTATTGTGTACTTACCCGAAGGATTTCAGGAGAAATGTAATCAGGTGTACCTACTGCTCTAGAGGATCGGACCTAAAATACAGAAACAGCTGTATTATACATGGAGCAAAGAGTGCCAATATAATATATTGATAAAAATAATTTCTGAACTTCCACAAACTTTTCAATGGGTTAAAAGTCAATGTCAATAAGAACTGTTTAAGCCAACTCCATTGGTTGTAGTGATATTGTCTTAAGATCTGAGTTCTTCACTGAAATACCATTTAGATAACTGTCAAGATGAAGGACAGCAATAAAAGAGATGTCCCTTTAATATATGTTTATATCTCTGTAAAGTTTAGGTATGCAGACTCTCTCATACATCCTCTCTCTCTTTTTTCCAAAATCTATCATGGAGATTTCTGGTATGTTCAAGGTGTCCACAATATCAAGGCATGGGTTTTTTTTCATATCAAAAAGAGGTGAAATTTGTGCATTGTTGTATATTTTGCAATATTTTTCAATCAATAAAAATAATCTGTTAGAAATGAGTCTTGTTTAATTTAAACGTGAAAATTTTCTGCATGGATTCATTTATGAAAGTGATGCATTTATAATGTCATTCCATTAATATATTCACATTCTTTAAATCAGCTTTTATTTCCTTAATCATAAATTGCAATACAGTAACTGAATTTCAAAAAGGATGGAATTTTAAATGCTCAGTTTACCATTACTTTAAACGTTTTTCCTATTGTGTGTCATTTTCAAAGACCATTAATCTACTCCTTTCATATTTTAAAGACATTAAAATAATTCAAACATAAACTGCACCATTTACTTAACATTATTATTTTTTTTTTTAACATGTACAATTGTGGATTTGTTTATTTTCTCAGGTATCAATTTTCATGATTTGAAAAAAAAAGCATTATTTTGAGGGCAATTAAATTTTAAGCAGATTCATCATTCAATCCTTATAAAGGTTCTAAAAATTATTTGTAAAAATTTGTCAAGTAGTTAAATTTGTGGTTTCCCCCTTCACTAAATCAAAGATGATTGGTGTACCACGAATACTAATGAATCCACCGTATTTAATGTATAAATTTCTCCACTCCTTACCGTGCCGTCCTCTTGTAATTTTAGACAGGAACCAAAGTCAGCTAGCACTATGTGTCCAGATAGATCTATCAATACATTGTCTGGCTTGATGTCTCTATGTACATATCCTAATTTGTGAAGAGAACTAATTGCTAAAACCATTTCTGCTATATAAAATTTGGCTAAATCTTCTGGAAGACCTTCTTCAAACTTGGTTAATAATGTCAACAAGTCACCACCACAATAATAGTCCATCACTAAATACTGAAAAATAGTCAAAAATCTAATATAATATTGTTATAAGACAATGACTGACAGTATTTGTAGGAAGATCTCACTAATAATTTGTTTTAATAAATAACTCACATACACTTTTTTCTATTCATTTGATATGTTTGAGCTTTTGATTTTGCCATTTGATAAGGGACTTTCCGTTTTGAATTTTCCTTGGACATGTTGGAGTACGATATTTTTGTTATTTTATTTTGCACAATGCTGAAGAGCAATAAAAGAACTTTCATTAGATGTATTCCCTGATAGGGCTGTAATTTTGGAGAGACATCCATTTGAACCCCCTCTGTTGACAGAATAAGCATGAAGGGGGGGTTCAAAATGAATACTTGACACATTGGAATGAAGATATGTCTTTATTGTAGTATCTATGACAAGTTTATTGTACTTACCAAGAAGTTTTCATCTTGAAAGGCATAATGAAGATTAGTTATCCATCTTCTATCTCCCTTCACTAAAACATCTCGTTCTTCTTTAAAACAAGCAGTCTGTAACATAAATACATTTTCTACTAAATATGCTTTATACAAAGTATAATAAAGTTTTTTTATTCAAATATCTTAAACCTGAACCTAAATTTAATTTAATGAAAGTGTGATTGGCAAAGTGATGAAAAGATTACTATGCAGAATATGAAGACTACTATTATAATGTCAGACAGACCATAGAAGTGTTTGAAACTATACAGAGGACCTCAAACTGAAAACTGATTGTTAATCAGAAACCTCCATTTGAGTTCCTTATTTTTTAAGTTTTAAAGAACTAAAGTGCACTATAAATAAAATGCTTCGCTGAGTGCAGCTGGATACGACCGCAGAGGTCCAACCCTGAACAGTTGGGGCAAAAATGGACACAATATTCACGCCTGATACAGGTCTGAATTTGGATTGTAATTAAATATTTTACACATAATAGGTTTCTGACACAGAATAACTGTAGTCAAAGAACTTAGAATTGGTTATATGATCTGAATTTATATTCAATTTTTTGCTTTTGTGCAATACACCATGCTGTTGTGTATTGACCCCCCCCCCCCCCCCTTTATTTTGCAAAAAAAAAAAATATTTGAAGAAATTTTCTTATTAATTTCTGAAATCGGAAATGAGAAAAAATTGCCCCCTCCCACAATTTCTTTTTTACCCCCCCCCCCCCCTGTCCTAATTTAAATACATCATAAAAGTCTTAAGATAGAAAATGACATACATAATCATGGCTAAAATTAATATTCCTTTAATAGTTACTTTTAAAATTAATTGACAGCTAATAACCTCAAGACAATACAACATCTTTATACATAATTTAAAAGCAATGTAAGGGAGGTAATCCAAATTTTTTTTTAATACTTTAAATGTATTTGGAGTACCTCCCTTACACTGCTTTTAAATTGTCCATTAACCAGGAAACCCTTGTTTTTCCCCCTTTTTTGCCCCTAATTCCTAAATGGTTTGAGCCATAACCCCCCAAAGTCAATCCTAACCATCCCTTTGTGGTATGGAAACTTGTGGTCTAATTTCAGAGAGATTCATACACCGTTCCACAAGTTATTGTCTGGAAACTAAAAAATGCTTATTTGGGCCCTTTTTTGGCCCCTAATTCCTTAACTGTTGGTACCATAACCCCCAAAATCAATACCAACCTTCCTTTTCTGGTATTGAACCTTATGGTAAAATTTCATAGAGATCCATTCACTTAAACTCAAGTTATTGTGCGAAAACCAATGTGTCTTCGGACGACGACAACGACACCAATGTCATACCAATATACAACCAAAAAGTCGTATAAAAAGAAGGGGGAACGGGGGGGGGGGGGGGGGGGTGTTCTGTAGTTTTTTTTAAGTCTTAACCCATTTAAGTTTCACCATTTTCTAGAATGCTGATTTGATCCAAGGGAACAATAGGCCAAAGGAAAAATAGGCCATACATTGTGAAGACATTTCTAAAATCATTGGCACATGAATAATAATTGGATATTCAATTCCATCTTTTTAGACTGGCTTGGTACAGGCACAAAATGTGGTTGGTTTTTTTTTTGTCAGTTAAATTGCCTTTTTGTTCTATTTATAATAGATTAACTTTTGTTTCTTATAGTTCAGATTAATTTGTAAATACGTAATTGTGTTTTTATTCATATCTTTTTTAATACTTACTAAAGAAATAAAGTACTAAAAGGCTGAAATTTAACTTTGGACTCGAAGTCTTTAAAAAATAAACAGAATGATGAAACAAGAATAAATTTTTAATAAAAATTTTAAATTCATTACAAGTATAATATACATATATTGTAACAAACAAATGACACATTAAACTGCACAATCAAAATTCACAAAGCAAAAACCACTACAGTTTGAAGTTGACAAATTAAAGTGGGTCAGAACTTTTTATAGATGAAATTTAATATCTTCAAAGGCATGATCACTTGAAATGAGTACTCTCATGTTACTGTTTATAACACATACAGGAAGTGAAGTCTTCTCTTTGTGTCTATAATGATATCAGTTAAATAAGAGGAAGCACATGTCAAACCTCATGTTTCTATATGGAGTATCAAATAAAAACAACATCACATTTTACTGATTTCATTTCTATTCTAGAAATTACATAATAGAGGTACCATTCAGGAAGCCCTAGAATTAAAATATTTTCAAAATTGATATATTTTCAAATTTTTTTAATATTAAAAAGAGATAAACTAAACACAAGAGTGCACACGCTGAAATGTCTCGCCTTCTTTACTAATCATTGATATTATGTTGATAGTCCTAAATATAAAGCTTTATTACAACTGTCACATAAACTTAACATTAACCAAGTAAACTAAACATTGACCAATGAACCATGAAAATGAGGTCAAGGTCAGATGAACCATGCTAGGCAGGCATGTACAGCTAACAATTCTTCCATACAACAAATATAGTTGACCTATTGCTTATAGTTTAAGAAAAACAGACGAAAACACAAAAACTTTAACACTGAGCAATGAACCTTGAAAATGAGGTCAAGGTCAAATAAAACCTGCATGACTGACATATAGATCATAAAATATTTCCATACACCAAATATAGTTGAACTATTGCATATAGTATTAGAAAAAAAGACCAAAACTCAAAAACTTAACTTTGACCACTGAACCATGAAAATGAGGTCAAGGTAAGATGACACCTGCCAGCTAGACATGTACACCTTACAATCATTCCATACACCAAATATAGCTGACCTATTGCATGCAGTATTAGAAAAAAAGACCAAAACTCAAAAACTTAACTTTGACCACTGAACCATGAAAATGAGGTCAAGGTCAGATGACACCTGCCAGCTAGACATGTACACCTTACAATCATTCCGTACACCAAATATAGTAGACCTATTGCATACAGAATAAGAAAAACAGACCAAAACACAAAAACTTAACTATAACCACTGAACCATGAAAATGAGGTCAAGGTCAGATGACACCTGCCAGCTAGACATGTACACCTTACAATCATTCCATACACCAAATATAGTAGACCTATTGCATACAGTATAAGAAAAACAGACCAAAACACAAAAACTTAACTATAACCACTGAACCATGAAAATGAGGTCAAGGTCAGATGACACCTGCCAGCTGGACATGTACACCTTACAGTCCTTCCATACACCGAATATACTAGACCTATTGCTTATAGTATCTGAGATATGGACTTGACCACGAAAACTTAACCTTGTTCACTGATCCATGAAATGAGGTCGAGGTCAAGTGAAAACTGTCTGACGGGCATGAGGACCTTGCAAGGTACGCACATGCCAAATATAGTTAAACTATTACTTATAATAAGAGAGAATTTAACATTACAAAAAATCTGAACTTTTTTTTCAAGTAGTCACTGAACCATGAAAATGAGGTCAAGGACATTGGACATGTGACTGACGGAAACTTCGTAACATGAGGCATCCATATACAAAGTATGAAGCATCCAGGTCTTCCATCTTCTAAAATATAAAGCTTTTAAGAAGTTAGCTAACGCCGCCGCCGCCGCCGGATCACTATCCCTATGTCGAGCTTTCTGCGACAAAAGTCGCAGGCTCGACAAAAAAAGTATGCCTCCATATTTAAAGAAAAAAAATATAGGTCAACAAAAACAAATTTAGGAATTCTTTTTCTTATTTTGCTTTACTGTTTTTAGTGAATATTGGTAGACCTGCAATTTTGTCACAACAAAAGTATCAATATAAACTTCAGGTAGGCGTTTAAAGGCATAAAAAGAAGGTTATGTAGGGGAACCATTACCACAAGTATTTTCTTATTTTGGCCTAATTAAAGAAGTCAATGAAAATTCTATGAATACTGGTGGTCTACAAAAAGGGCTGAACCACACTCATTTCTTTTATTTTCTGAATTGCCCTCTATTTACATTTCAACATATTTCATGTTATATTTAGATTCAACAAAACAGCATTATCATCCAGCTGTTTTTTCTGTATGACATTTATACACATAAAACATTAGATTGGCATGACAACCTTCTGTTTTTCTAACCTAACATGACCCAATAATCTGTCTTGGCTGATGATCATGATATAACAAACATTACCTAAACATATTTATATCTGCTATAAAAATAAATCATTTTAACAAATGTTTGCATTTAATTATTTAACTACTACATGGGTAACAGTGCAGGAAACCAGAAACCCAACCTTGACCTTCCAAAACCAGGTGTGGTATTATTTCTGAAGATTTTATCTCAGACAAGAAATATTCTGCACCATTAATGCAGGATTGTGCATTTAATCTGCCATACTTAAGACAGAGCAGAAGATTTGTATTGTCAGATTAGAATTGAAATGTGAGCCTGGATATATATCTAACAGCTGATTATATATTACCTCTGCCCTTTTTAACATCTCCCATTTATTCAAGATCTTCATAGCAAATACTTTATCTGTATTCTTCAACTTCACTACTGCAACCTGTAATTAATAATTTTTTTTTTCTGTAAGTACTAAGTACGAAATTTTATAATCATCAGCCCCCATCTGATATTTTGATACAAGCTGCATGAAAGTTTTTGGGCATTTTTTTAACAAAATTTCATTAATCTTTAAAATAGTAGGTGTATTTCTTGTGATTACTTTAAGATGCATTTTTCCCATGGAATGTATATGAAAGGTACCAATTAAAGTATGAAAACATTTTCAAATATGTCTACCAAAATATAGGAAGAACCTCCTGAAAACTTGGAATAAGTGAGATGGATTTTGAACAGATATTTACCATTGTTTACATTCACTTCATTTCTTTTGGTTGATATAAGTTTAGTTGGCTCATAATTTGTATAATTACTGTTGTCGTGGTCTAATTTACTATTTTGAAGGACTACCAAATAAATCCCAAGTTTGCAGCACTATCAAATATGTTAACGTGGTATACTAGTTAACAAAAAAATGGCAAAACTGTATGCAGGCAAAGAAATGCAACAGAGAATACATCAAAATGCTATTCAGATTTCCAAGGAAACTCTATTAGAAATTCCAAAGCGAAATACAGATCTTGAAATACAAAATGTAGGGGGCCCTAAACACATTTGGAGTGGGAAATGTAAAACTATGCATTAACCATATATGCAACTCCATAATTAAATGAGAGGCTAGGGCCCCCTGCCCCCTCTAAATCTACCTCTGCACAGGACAAATGCATATATATCTGTTGATTATATACTTTATATCTAAAATTGAATTGGTTCTTCATTAAATAAACATGATAAAAGATCAAGGATCATAGATGAGAGAACAAAGAATGAAATTTACAAATCAGTAATATCAAATCATTTATTTGTTTCTTATGGCATAAAACTACAACAAACATCACTTTGTACAGCCTGGAAATTCACTTTTTTTTGTTTGAGCATTACTGAAAGTGACTTAGTCTGATAAAGGTACATCCAGAAAAGAACTTAGGATGCACCACATTAACCAAATGCTACTTTCATTTGTTTCTCTGTCTCTCAACATATTAAGATAACTTTTTAGAAAAGAAATTGATTATCATCGTAGCTGATATCATATCACTACTGACTGAGTGACAGAATCACTGCTCAATAAATCATATGTTTTGAGTGGTTCCTGCAACTTTTGCTGATAAATGGTAACACTTTTATGTCAATGTATGATATAACAAATTATGAGTTACCATTGTTACATGAATAACTTGCACTGATCATGATACAAGAATCTGAATATTTACTTTCTGTGTTTGAACAACTGATCAAGCAGTACTTTTGAGATAAAAACAATAATTAGGTGACCTAGTGACCACAGAAATCTCCACCAACAGAAAACTTTAACAGTAAATGACCACTCTCAAAATCAAACTTGAACATTATTTCATGGATCATAGTATAACATATACAATTATTGCTAGACAGTTTGTGAATGATCACCTGAACAAAGCCCACATATTCCAATTTTTAATATAACGAAAGGCATAACTTTTGCAAGGTAAATGTCAAAATCATCTACATCCAATTCGACCTGTATTTAGTTGTCCATGACATTGGGCTCAACTTCATCAGTATTAAAATTATTCAAGCAGTTCTTTAATTATAATAAAATAAAGAGCTGCCCCATGAGCACATGATACGCCTGTTGCCAACTGGCCAGTTTTCCACAATTTTTCAACTAATAAAGTTCCATAACTCTTCAATGTCATATAAGAAATTTTTTAAAAACAAAAGGGAGCTTATTTCAATAGATATCAACAAGTCTACAAAGTTTCATGATAACTGATAAAAGCGTTTTTGAGTTATTGTCTGAAATACTGGAAAATCCCCCCGTTTTTATGAATAAAGTCCAAATACTCCAAAACGTAAATTCAGAAATTTTAAAAAATCGAAAGGGAACTCATGTCAATATATATAAACAATTCACCACAGTTTTATTAAAATTGTTCAAAGTATTTTTGAGTTATAGTCAGAAAACTGGAAAAATCCTGCATTTTTTATGAACAGAATCCCAAAACTTGGAAACGTAAAATATAAAGTTTATAATCAACTGTTAACACAGAGATATGTCTCGCATATATATTTGTTATTTTGATAATTCAAATGTTCAAATTAAAATAGCAATACTTTAACATGTAAGTTACATGAATGCAAATATTCAAAGTCAATGAACCATGACTGAAGGTACAGAGCTAAACAATCTCCATGGAAATGAGATGTGCCAATGCTAATACAACTGCAAACCAAATACCATTGACTTTTCATAAGTCGTTCCCTTTAAACAAACCTAAACACAAACATTAACTTGTAAACTATGTAAAAGTTTCAAAGTCAATGAACAATAATCAGGGGTGGGGTTATATAATCTCCATGGAAATTAAAATTGCAAATGCCAAATCCATTTGCATACTGAATATCATTGACTTAACATTAGTGGTTCATCTTAAACTGACCTAATCACAAACTAATAATAACATGTAAACTAAGCAAAAGTTTCAAAGTCAATAGACCATGACTGAGGGGGCAGGGCCAAATAATCTTTATGGAAATGAGATATGCTAATGCTTATACAACTGCATACCAAATATCATTGACCTACCACTAGTGGTTCCCCATTAACTGACCTAATCACAAACTGATACATGTAAACTAAGCAAAGTTTCAAAATCAATAGACCTTGACTGAGGGGGCGGGGCCAAATAATCTCCATGGTAATGAGATGTGCCAATGCTAATACATCTTCATACCAAATATCATTGACATACCACTAGTGGTTCCCCATAAATTGACCTATTGTTTGCATGACACGGGTTATGTTCTTCTCATATATTTTATGATGGTATAATACTAAACCCCTAACAGGAGGGATTGTGCCTGATATTCATATGATGAAGACATAATCTTTCGATCAGTTGAATTGAGGTCTGGAGCTGGCATGTCAGTAACTGCTAGTAGTCTGTTGTTATTTATGTATTATTGTCATTTTGTTTATTTTCTTTTGTTTCCTATTCTGACATCGGACTCGGACTTCTCTTAAACTGAGTTTTACTGTGCGTACTGTTGTACGTTTGTTTTTTCTACATTGGCTAGAGGTATAGGGGGAGGGTTGAGATCTCAAAAAGCATGTTTAACCCCGCCGCATTTTTGCGCCTGTCCCAAGTCAGGAGCCTCTGGCCTTTGTTAGTCTTGTATCATTTTTAATTTTAGTTTCTTGTGTATAATTTGGAGTTTAGTATGACGTCCATTATCACTGAACTAGTATACATATTTGTTTAGAGGCCAGCTGAAGGACGCCTCCGGGTGCGGGAGTTTCTCGCTTCATTGAAGACCCATTGGTGGCCTTCGGCTGTTGTCTGCTCTATGGTCGGGTTGTTGTCTCTTTGACACATTCCCCATTTCCATTCTCAATTTTACTAATCACAAATTGATACATGTAAAATAAGCAAAGTTTCAAAGTCAATAGACCTTATTTGAGGGGGCAGGGCCAAATAATCTCCATGGTAATGAGATGTGCCAATGCTAATACAACTGCATACCAAATATCATTGACCTACCACTAGTGGTTCACTATGAACTAGATCTTATCACAAACTAATACATTGTTGACGCCGCCGCCGACACCGGAAACAGCATATCTATGTCTCGCTTTTTGACTCCGTCAAGGCAAGACAAAAATCGATAGGAATCTTAGGTCAATAGATATAAACAATTCACCAAAGTTTCATGAAAATTGGTGAAAGCATTTTTGAGTTACTGTCAAGACATGTTGACGAAGAACGGACAGACAACAGTATACGATAAAACGTCCTGTCCCATAAACGGGCATATAAAAATATTGTTGGGAATCGGGTGGAAAATTATAATCAGTTAATCCGAATAATGAGACATGCTCTAATTCTATTTTCTATAATCAGTTTTTAATTCATTTGCAAATAATGCAGGAATTTAGTTATGTTCAAACTTCCTCATGCAATACTCATGCTAGTGTTAAAGTAGAATTATCAAAATAACACAGTCCACCAAAAATGTGTGTATATGTATAGTTCAGCTTAGTCCTGCCATAGCAACTTTGTTGAGGCTAGACACTAACCAACAAAATATAACTTGACCTGTATTTTCTGGTAAATTACATTGTGTTCCAATTCAAAAGATTTGGTCAAATGGTACTTAATCATACAGAAACTAAGATAAGTGACAGTATAACTTACTATACAGAAGGATGAAAAAAAACTGACTAACAGCTCATCATTATGTAAAATGTTGAAATTAAAATGTAAACTATGCAAAACATTCAAAGTCAGTAAACCATGATTGAAGGTGCATGGCCAAATAACCTCTGTGGAAATGAGAAATGCCAATGCTAATAGTAATACACCTAAAATACTATTATACTAACTTATCATAAGTGATTCCCTTTAAACTGACAGTAACACAAACTTTAAGTCAATGAACCATGGTGAGAGGAGGTAGGCATATAATCTCCATAGAAATGAGACGTTCAATTGCTAATACAAATGACTGGGATCACCATGTAGCGTGCAATCCAAGGCTACGCATCATTTGTGATTTGTTGATCTTTCTCCTCTATCCTTGATTTTCATTCGATGATGAACCCTGAATGCATACAACGATCCCAACATGGCTGAGGAAGAAATAGTTAAAATCGTTTTCTGCTAATTTCTCTGTGTAAATGTGTTGTTTTCAAGAATTACTCAAACGCCAGGTTGATCTGCACGGTTTTTTGTGTGTGTGTGTTCTTAATATGGTCTTGTTACCAAAATAATAGCAATCGAAAATTTAAGGAAGATAATTGCATGTATGATGAAATTTATTGGATATGATAATTGTAACTGAACTATCAGGTAGTCGCAATTTGGACATAATGATAGTAACTCATCATTGATAATCGTAACTTTATCTGTTGATAGGGATGGCGACTATGATATCTAACTCTTTTTTCAAAGTTTGAAAAAATAAATGGGGAATGTGTCCATGGACACAGATGATGCCCCCGCTTGCATATAATGTTATAAAGGAACGTAACTCAAGAAATGTAAAAGTGACTCTACCCAAATTCGTACTTAATCTGAGTGTTGTGGTAATAAGCATTTTGTATAAGTTTCATAACATTTGGTTGGGGCAAACTTAAGTCAGAGAATGGAAACGAAAAATTCAGCAATTTTTCTGGATTTTTCCATTTGTAAAGGTGCATAACTCTAGAACGGTAAAAGTGACACTACCAAAATTCAAACTTGATCTGTGTTTTGTGGTAATAACCATTGTGTATAAGATTCTAAACATATAGTTTAGGCAAACTTCAGTTAGAAAATGGAAACATAAATTCAGCAATTTTTCCATTTGTAACGGGGCATAACTCCAGAAAGGTAAAAGTGACCCCACACAAATTCAAACTTGATCTGCGCTTTGTGGGAATAAGCATTTTGTATAAGTTTCCTAACATTTGGTTGAGGCAAACTAAAGTTAGAGAATGGAAACCAATTTTGGGAGGTATGGACGGACAACGGTAAAACTTAATGCCCCCTCCGTTAAGGTGGGGGCATAAAAATTGATAGTGTGACCAGAATTCGTGAATAATTGGTTATCTTAAACTAATTTACTTTTTACTTTCTTCATTTTCCTCATACAATAAATCATCAAGCAGGCTGATGATTATATACTTTTGTATTTGTGGCCTATTTACCAAAATTAATCAACGAAATAAACAAACACAACGAGAAAAGCTAAAATCGTGAAAATTGAACTTGACCTTCATTTAGTCACAGGAAACAACATTTTGGAGTTTGAATGTCCCTTTGGTATCTTTCGCCTCTCTTTTGGAGATGGTACAAGATGCTATCATTCTCAAGATGGTTAATGATGTGTTTTGTGACATTATGTTCCATTAACTTGCAGCACATGCAAGTCAATGAAATTCGCCTGAAGTTGACAGCTTTATGCATGTTATGTTTGTCGCCCTTTTTGAAGACTGGTGCAACATTAGCATGCTACCAGTCCTGTGGTAGTCCAGTTTCAAGTGTTTTTTCAAATAGAACCGATTTTAAATTACGGCGGGGCATCCTAAAATATGACGGAAAAGGGGCAGGGCGCTAAATTTATTTCCTGAAACGGGCAGGGCGTCAAGAATACACGGCAGGGCGCCATACCAGGCCAAAAACTCCTGTAGGAAACACTATCACTTGAACGAAAGTCCATGAATGTGTATTTTATATAATGTAATAAGATACGTTTGGATAACAGTCATTAATGTTAACTTTTAATATTTGCAGAGGTTACTGATAAAAATCAGTTACTATTATCATTGAAATATTCTGCAGTTACAATTATCTTTCCAGTTATTTGTCCACAAGTTACGAGTATCTTCTTTTGGAGTTATGATTATCTTCCTTAAATTTTCGATGGCTATTATTTTGGTAACGATGCCATATATGATTTTAAGAACACACACACACACAAAACCGTGCAGATCAACATGGCGGCTGAGTAATTCTTGAAAACAACCTTTTTACATGGAGAAATTAGCAGAAAACAATTTTAACTATTTCTACCTCTGCCATGTTGGGATTGTGGTAATTGCAGTTATCACGATCAGTTTAACACCAGTGACTTATAACTGACCTAACATTACTGCCTCATCTTAAACTGATTAAATCATTAACTTTAAAATGTGAACTATGCAAAAGTTTCAAAGTCAATAGACCATAACTGTGGGGTCATGGCCAAATAATCTCCATGGAAATGAGAAGCACATTGATAATACAACTGCATACCAAATACCATCAGCCTATCACTTATTGTTCTCCCAACTCACAAACTAAGTACGGATATTTTCCTTTGGAAATCCCATTAAAAATGTATAAAACACCATTTAGGTCGAACAAATCCTGCAAGGAGACAACTGACAGTTTCAGCTATCAAATTTATTCATAGATCTTGTGCTACTGATCATTTTTAATTTGCCATAAAAATTCTCTCTCTTCATTATTGTTTTCAAGATAATAGGCAAAAACAAAAATTAGTCAAATTGCCATTAAGGTGAAAGTAATTCTTTAAGGACATGAAGGAGTCGACTGATGATTTCAGCCATGTTGCCTTATTCGTAGATCTTGTCTTGCTTATAATTTTAATTTTTTGCTTTAAAACTTTTTCTCTTTATACTAAGGTTTCCAAGATAGAAGCAAAAAATAAAAAAATGTCATTTACAGGGCAATTTCTCCAAGGAGTCGACTGATGATTTAGAACATATTATTATTGATAATCTTGTGTCTTTCGATTCTTATTTGATCATTTTTCCTTTTCCAAGTTTCTCTCTCTAGTTTTCAAGATAATACACAAAATAAAAAAAAGAAGGTAAAATTCATTTTTTAAGGCAATAACTTCTAAAGAAGTCGTCTGAAAGATTTGATGTAAATGGACAAAGGATAGATCTCAACATTCTAAGAGTTCTGCCCTAGTCAGATTTTCTCTATCGATAGTTTTTGAGATAAAAAGACAAAATTTGCATTTTACCCCTATGTTCTACTTATAGCCATGTCAGCCATGTTAGTTGGCAGTAAGGGTCATCAGACACATTTTTTAAAACTAGATACTCCAATGATGATTGTGGTCAAGCTTGGTCAAATTTGGCCCTGCCGTGTCAGAGGAGAAGATTTTTAGAAAAGTTAAGACAACGACAATGGAAGCGAAGCGATGAGAATTCTGAATAGATCAGGCCAGGTTAGCAATATTCACTGAGATTTGAATTTTAAAAATTTACCTATTTTTTCAAATACTTATTTTTTAGAAAATATAAAGCACCTTCAATAAAATGCTTCACTGAGCGCAGCTGGATACGCCCGCAGAGGTCCTCACTGAGATTTGAATTTTAAAAATTTGCCTATTTTTTCAAATACTTATTTTTTAGAAAATATAACACACCTTCAATAAACTGCTTTGCTGAGCACAGCTGGATACGCACGCAGAGGTCCAACCCTGAACAGTTGGGGCAAAAATGGACACAATATTCAAGCTTGATACAGGTCTGAATTTGGATTGTAATTAAATATTTGACATTTTATAGGTTTCTGAATAAATGTACTCAAAGAACTTGAAATTGGTTATATGAATTGAATTTATATTCAATTAAAAATTTCATGCTGTTGTGCAATACACTGTGCTGTTGCGCAATACTTAGTAAATCTGTTGTCAGACTATAAACAAATAAAGTTCAATTTCTTCTCAATGTCATATTTGAAATTTATGAAAATCAATAGGGAGATTACATCAATAGCTATAAATAATTCACCAAAGTTTCATGAAAACTGCTGAAAGCATTTTTGAGTTATTGTCCAAAACCTGGAAAATCCCCTCTTTTTTAATGAATAAAACCCCATAACTCAGAAATGTAAAATCTAGATTTATAAAATTCTAAAGGGAGCTTACATCAACAGATATAAACAATTCACCAAAGTCTCATGAGAACTGCTGAAAGCATTTTTTAGTTATTGTCGGAAAACTGGAAAATCACCCTTTTTTTATGAATAAAACCCTGTAACTCGGAAACGTAAAATCTAAAATTTATAAAAATCGAAAGGGAGCTTATGTCAATAGATATAAACAATTCACCAAAATTTCTTGCAAGTTGGTGAAAGCATTCTTGAATTATTGTCGGAAAACTGGAAAATCCCCCCTTTTTTAATGAATAAAACCCCAAAACTCAGAAACGGTAAATCTGAAGTTTATAAAAAACAAAAGGGAGTTCACGTCAATAGATATAAACATTTCACCAAAGTTTCATGCATATTGGTTTAAGCTTTTTTGAGTTAATGTCCGACATGTTGACGATGGAAAAACGGACAGACGGTCAACGGTATACCATATTACGTCCCGTAAACGGGCGTATAAAAACAACAAAAATATTTACATCAAAGGTGTTGTTCATATAAACAAACATTGTGGTAAATCATTTAATTGGTTCTTGCCAGGGGTCATCAATTGCTGGTCCAAAAGCTATATGAAAATTGACCGAAATCTATGCATTATTCACCAATACATGTAGAAGGTGTTGTTCTGTGCGTCACAACTCACAATTGCATGACTGACATCATGGGTCAAAAACAACAAGTTTTTATTTTTGAATTATCTAAACTTTAAAACAAACATATAGTTCTGCTAAATCTAAAGTTCAAATTTCAGGCATTATTGGCACTAAATCTTTCTGTTCATATATCTTAAATGGCCTTACCTCTCCAAAAGATCCTCTTCCTATAATTCTTACTGTCTCAAAATCATCTCTATGGAGTCGAAATTCCTTGATCCTGCTTACAATTGGTTTAGCTGAAAAGTTAAATGAAAGAGAAACATGAAATTTCAGTGAAATTGTAGCTCAAGACAAGACAAAAAATAATCATTGTGTCCAAAAATTATGACATGTATTATGTCACACATGGAAATTTCAGAACAACAGATATTTGCCAAAAAGGAGAGAGAAGCTTTGCTAGGACAAGTATACAAATATGACACTTTGAGACCAATCACCATAAAGCAGATATATATATCTTTTAATTTGCACTTACAAGTCAATCAGTTCACCATCAGATCACACAGAAAGCTGACAGTAAAAACCTAACAACTCCCCCTCCAAAAATATTAAAACAAAAGGAATACTGATCTAAATAGCATAGATCTATGTACTTCTATTTCTACATATAGTGACCACTAAATAAAATAAAACAGGAAATGTCAGTGACATTGTAGCCTAAATGAAATTTTGAAGTACTTTGCAGTTTAACGTATGCAATTTTTTTTTTCATGGTGTCCAAAAATTTTGATAATTTGTGAAAGCTATCTGGAGTTAATACATGTATGATATATATCTGACACACAATATGGGAAATTCAACTTTTTCATGTTGTATTTTACATATATGTAGCATTACCAATTATGAATCTTTTCCTCTGTTCGAGATGCTACAACATTCAAGGTGATTTAACATGTTAGCAATGCGTTTTGCATATATTGTTTTTGAGTACATCCCATTTTGAGGTGATGGTTAACCCGAGATATTTTGCTGTTGTTACATGTTCTAAAATGTGTTTGTGCAACATGTAATTAAATGACATAAATGTGATTGTTTTTTTCATTTTGCATAATTGGATGGAATGCCATTTTCCACATAGTTTCCCATGCTGCTAATTTGTCAAGATCTTTTTATATAAAATTGTTCAATACTAGCAACCTATCTTGGGATCAGGGACTGGACATCAGAAGTATAGATTGATCAAGACCATACAACATTGGGTATAAACAACAAATGGTCATAATTGGTTTATTTATTCAGAAACAGATATTAGCTCTAGATCTTCTATTTGTATCATCACATCTGATATTTAGAAACAAGAAGCAGTTTTCTGCACTGGGTCTGACTTAAAAGAGAGGCGACAGATACCAAAGGGACATTCAAACTCAAAAGTAGATAATAAACTGACAACGCCATGGCTGAAAAAAGAAAAAGACAAACAACAGTATACAAAACACAACATAGATAACTAAAGACTGCGCAACAGGAACCCTACCAAAAACTGGGGGTGATCTCAGGTGCATGGAAGGGTAAGCAGATCCTGCTCTAATTGTGGCACCTGTCGTGTTGTTCATGTTAGAACAAACTCGGTAATTATTCTAATTTGTTAGGTCACATTCGAGAAAAGGGGACAGGATTGTAGTGATGACAATTGGAACATATCCGCTATCATCTGTGAAACGGATATTCCATAATGGTCAACCAACTCATGATGGCGTCCATAAAATTTACGAAGGGATGATTTCAACTTCACCATTTGGAACACTTGGTTTAATAGCTTCCTTGTGAGCAGCAACCCTCTATCAAGGAAATCACGATAGATTTATTTAATAGACCTTATCACTATTTGGAAATCTGCGCCTCTTGAACTTTTGACGTCATACAACAATCACTTTTCAATTGTGCCATCAGATATTTTCTATTATGACGTCAAAATTTTACGGGAACCTTTGTGATGTCCAGTAATGGCGGACAAATAGCGATAAGGTGTATTATTAAAAAGAGATACATTTTTACATGAAAGATCAAGATCACCAAATAATCAGACGACAGGTTTCCAGAAAAAGATCAGAAAAAAAAAGATTTCAAATGATCGCTTTGAGTTGATATCTTTATGTCTAAAACAATAGCAGCGTCTTGGACCTCATCCCTCTATTCCCACATTATATTGTCTTTTATCCTGCAATCAGCTAACTATTGTACAAATAACAGGTACACAAATAAATTTTTGCTTTATTTGTACTTGTACAAATAAAGTCTCCTGTTACCCCCGCTTCCATGTTGAGCAAGCGGTAATGTAGAAATTTCTTTTTGCGTACCAGTTCATTTTGGGGTCCTCATCGCGGTCCGCGTTTAAACTACGTCGATTTCTTTGAATACTTATAGACAATGATTTAGATTTTAACAACTAAAGTTTCAATTAAATTTCAGGATAAAACAATATATGTGCATTGTCGGAAAATATAAAATTTATTTGAACTCGCTACGAAACAGGAGAAAAGCTCGGCGAGCCTCGCTTTTCGTCCTGTTTCTAAAGCTCATACAAATAAATTTTATATTTTCCGACAATGTACATATATTGTATATGTATCCAACAGCTGATTCAGCCAGCAGTATTAATATTGATTTGGAGTTTTATTAAAAGACTTATCTTTGGAAATCAACTAGTGTATGCTGAGTCTTGCTTTAGTAGTGGTGCATATGTTATACCCCTATCCAGTAATATGACTCATAAACTCACCAAATTCCACAAACTCCGAGATATTTTTCTCCCTCCGCAAAGTAGTATTGCAGCACTCATCATACAGCACTACCAAAACATCAAGAAGAGTCTCGATGCTTAATGCTTGTCCTTTGCTATTCTGGAGATCAGACACATAAAGATGTGTTAGTTTTTTCACTCTGTCCTCTGCAGACATGTTTTGCATTTGCAAAATAATCTTGTAGTTATCGTTCTTGGTTTGTAGACATTTTCAAAGAATTTACGAAAGTTCAATAATTATTCAACCCGGACAAGTCATATATTTCATAATTAGTAATTACTTTGATGCATAAGTTGCTCAAATATTGAATATCACACTTGCTCTACTGTAAAAGATACAATGTTATTGAAAAAATGTCGACTTCCGTACTTCAGTGGGCTCGTTTATGGTACAGAAAAAATAAGGTATGAAATAATATACATTATAAATGGAGACGTGTGAATATTATGATAGAAACTTGTTGTTTAAAATTAAACTTGACGCCTTGAATGTTCATATTTGTTGTTTACACCCTTGGCATTCCTGTTTTCACTTCGGGAGATGTCAACATGGCCGACAAGTTATCAATGGCTTATGGGAAGCCGTTCTACGCAGGCGTTTCATGACGTCATTTTGTTTATATTTGTCGCACCTTGCACATGTTGAGAAAAGTCAAAGTCAAGTTGATTGCATAGTTCCTCTGGTCTCTCGTTGATGTTGACAAAGTATCATGTGAGAAAACATGAAATAATGAAACAAAAATTAACAATTCAAAGTAGATCAAATTTTAATTCTTCTCGTGAACAGTCAAGTATGACCACCGCCACCGGTTAACTAAAAAAAAGGGGGGTCTACTCTCAGGCATTTTATTGCTATCATGCCTTCAAACTTTCTAAGCTTCGATTCGACATAAATATGTCGACAAAAGTAATTAATAATCACAGTAAATAAGCGTAGAGAATTTCAAAGCATTTTACACCCAAGACTCAAGAGAAATCTTGCTCTGCTAATAATATATACCAGAATTACATAAACAAAGTTTTCTAGTGACAAAAAACTTCGCAAACACTGACAAATGGAACACTTCAAAAGTTGGCATGTTTTAAACACAGATGCTATTGCTTATAAATTCATAGGAAAATGAAAAAAAAAACTAGGATATTACAATATATAATTATTTCCCTCTAAATCTTAACAGATAGGTTTCAATTACACAAGTTGAGTAAGAGGTACTTTCCTTTTGTCACCATGTTTAATAGAGGTCTACATGCTTGAGTTCCTTCTTAAATCAGCGAAATTCAACTTGTTATACTGACCGCTAGACGTAAGAAAAAGTTGTTTCCTGAACAATTTGAATTTCAACAGCCTTTCTTGATTCATCACTTCGATCTAGTATAAGGATCTTTTATCAGACTGGTTTGTACCGCTGGTTTCAATTTGATAAGTCAAATGAGAAAATCAACCGTTCACCCCTCCAAAATGACCACAAAGGGAAATAACTCAAACTCAAATTATGTCATATCAAAACATGGCTTTTAAGCCATAATATTAGACAAGAAGGCTATAGTTGTCTTAAATTGAAATAAATTTTTATATGCAAATGAATTTCTCATCTAATGGTTGTTAATATCTCTGAAATATATCTATAAATATTGGTATACATTTCGAATGTGAAAATGACAACAACGCAAGTCTTAGATGTCATAAATGGATTTAGCTATTCTTTAAGGGTCCTGTTGGTCGTATAGATCCTTATTAAGTATTTATACAAACTTGGCCTTCAAATATTTTGGTTTTAGCTTTTCTGATGATGGTAAATCAAGGATTTAAGTGCTTCTGACACATCAAATATATAAAATTTTATATCCATTTACGATTACCTTGTCTAAAATAATACATTATATTGTACTATACTTCATTTAAAGAAATATAAACATATTCTTTGATACACATGATACATGTGTCAAGGATTCACATTTTACAAAAGATTCAATTTACCAAAATTTTTGAGTTATCTCCCATTTATTAAAAAAAATCTTGTCTGAAAATATGTTCTATTGCCCATTATAGATACATTGTAATTATGTCTGATAAGTTCAATGCTTAATAAATACAGTGTTCTCCCCAGGATTTTTGGATAGCAATAGGCTAAGGCGTGTGGACAGCTTGGTGAAATGATTCGTACAATCAGTTGTGTCTCTTTGTGTTGCTTAGCTATATTTCTGGTTAGTTTTTATGGCATTACATTTTTGTCTTTTGTTTTGTTTAAATACTGTGATACTGTGTTATGTAGACATTGAGTCAGAAAATTATTGGTAAAAAAGAAGTAAATCAATAAACAGTTTGTATACTTTAATATCTTTTGAAAATAAATAAAACATGATTCATTACAAAATATTCATCTAAAAAATTATAGTTATTAAATCTTTTATAAAATCCATGATCAATAAAAATAATATATCATTCAAAAGAGAAAAAAAAATGTTTGATTTAAAAAACTTTCTAGTTTCTAGATAGAAAGTTGTTTTATATAAAATGATTCTTATCATAAGGAGATTTAAAATTAACAAGAACAAATATTGTTTTATTATTTGAACAAGTTTCTATCTTTAATTTAAATAAAAAGAATTTTTCATAAACTTTAAAACATTTTGCTATAAATTTAACTTTCATGTAAATATTAACCTTTTTTGTATTGGGTGATAATCAAACGGATTTGTCTTTTGCCGTTCTGGGTCTATACCAGACCAATTTTACTTTTGATTTTGGAGAAGGGCATGAGTCAGTGGTAGATGTACTACTGTCAGGTTTCCCCAACAATAGAATTGAAATATCTTACGATGTTTTGCATTTGGCTCGGATATCATGAATTTTGATAATCATATATTTATGACAAGGAAAGCTTGTACTACGTGCTTCATAAAAGAATTGAGAAATGTATAATTGTCAATTATCTGTAATGAGCCAACAATTTATGATGTACAAAAAATGTTCCGCCGTGCGTACAACTATCGTCACTGTTTGTGTACAAAGTATTTGCCGACTTGTCACAGGTCAGCACTTAGGTGGTGAGTGAAGCCATAAAATTGTTATCTGTGATCATAAAACTCTTCGTCAATTAAAACACAAAAGAATCCTGTTACAAGTGTTGATTACATCGATTAAATCCAATCAACAAGGTTAACCTCATAAGGTAAATCGATCATGTGGTGTAAACTAACAACATACTGGTTAAATTTCACTGGAATTTTATACCGCACAGATAAAATTTAACAAGTTGTTTAAAATTTTACCGATTTAGGATTTTTTAATTGAAAATTTAAGCACCACAGACCAAAATTCTACCACCGCGCTAAGACTGATAGAACCAGGCTAAAAAATTATACCACCACAGACCTGCGGACCTTTAAGGGCCTGGGGAAAACGCTGATTAATATGACATATATCTGTTCCTATTGATACTGAAATGATAGGCTCAGTTTATTATGTGATTATTTTTTTGTCGACTTATAATTTGGTTATTTTTAGGGACAAATCTGTTCGTCTTAATACTGAAATAACAGATTTCAGTTTATTATGCGATTAGTATTTATGGACTTTAATTTGTTTTATTCTAAGGCTAATTTCGTAGATGGTCCCCTACATATATGACACTGTAATGTCGTTAATTTTGCTGAATTTAAATTTTTGACAAATTTGTTTGTGGCAAATTCAATACTGCAATGTGGGTTATTGTTGTGAAGTTTAAAATTAAATTTTCCTTTTTTGCCAGAGCCAAAATATTTTATGTTTTTCTTTCCTTTACTCATGAAAGCTCTGTTCTGATCCTGAAAAATGTCAAAAATAGACGTGAAAAGAGTGGATGTTTTATTCAATTATCTATATAATACCAAATTACAGAAAAAAAGCATACAAATCATGAAATGTTTCCTGTTACAGTTCTTAAGTAATAGAAAAATGTACAAACTGGACCTCTCTTATTAGTTCTTACAGTTCTATAGTATAAATAGAAAAACCTACAAACTGGACCTCTCTTATGGTGGATCATCAGTATATGTTTCCTCAGATAAATTTTTTTTATACTTTGCCAAAATGAAAATTTTACTATGCTTTTTTCAAAAATATAATAAAACGTATGGGTCACCGTGCTATTTTTTAAGCTACAAGTGGTACAAAATTGCACAAATTTGCATAGCTTGTTCATGAAAAAACACATTTTTGTGAATAAAAAAAAAATCTATGAGATAGAATTTTAAAATAAAATATGAGAAGATAGGTTTTATAATATGCTTTAAGAAAATAAAAAGAAAAAATGGTGTCACCAAACTTGATTTCTTGCTACAAGTAAAAAATGAAAATTTAACTATCATTCCAGTATAAAACTTTTACTATAGGAGTTATTTTCCCTTAAATGGCCAAGTTGAAAAATTGATTCTAAAAACACAAATATTTGGTATTTGTTTAATCATTTTGGATAATACAATAATTACTTTTTTTTCTTCATACAAATAAACAGTCTTACACATAAATTGCAAATCTGTCTCAAAATTTGCAGATTTAGGCAAAGAATTAGACCGATTATGTACTGCTATTGTACAATCCAAGATGGCGGTATACAGCGCATCTACCTTATTAGTTCTAAGGTTCTCCTTTCAAATTTTTTCAGCTAAATTTTTTTTTTAAATTTCAAGTTTAACAGAACCTTAACATATAAGTAATGTAATGACTATTGTCCCAACTTGATGCTATAAAGCAGGTTGAATATCAGGTTTTGAAAATTACATATTTTCTAAAATGATGTTAGTGGCAATCTTGTGTGAACGGTACATTAAGAACATAAATAAATGGTAAACAAGGAAGTTATCACCCTTGTCAATGTTCACTAAATGTTTAGTTGCAGATATTTTTGAATAGAAAAATGTATCTTTCAAATAGATTTGCCAGTATCTAATGAATATCTGTGTTTTTCAGGTTGAGTATATGATTAATAAGGACTATGCGGAAATATCCACAAAGCAAGTTCAATATTTTTGGTGCAGGTCTGAAAATAACCCTGGTCGTTGAAGTTGGAATATTGGCTACGTCCTTTATATGGTTCAAAAGGCTTAATAACTCACAAGGTAAATTAATGATATGATAGAATTATTTAATATTTCCCTTGTTCAGACACTGATAGTCTGATTTTAAGAGCATATAAGAAACATTAATTTTTAACAACTTTTTTGATACCTGTCTGCACTTTATTATTAAGACTAGGAAGGTAACAGGTAGCTACTTACTTCAAGTGGGGGAGGTCACAAGTTTGATTGCTTCCTGTAAAACTAAAGACCTAAAAATTACTATTATGCTGCTTTTTTACTAAACACACAACATTTAGAAGTATTGATTAGAGTCAGAATCATATGTGAAACATCTTTCTGAATACTGTAACTTTGTGAACTAGCACATTCAAAATTCAGCACAAAGTAAGATTCATATAATATTCATATCCATATCACATTTACATGCTTTTATCTATATTTGCCCCTTGACATAAAACAGCAAATCCATCAACATTACCTATATTTTAATGTTCAGCGAATGAATTTCTATTTATTTCTTAACAATGTCCTGCATTGCTACGAATCATCACAAGTACTATTGTATTGAAAATACCTTTCTTTTTTGATTTGATGTTGTGACTTTTCCTTAAATTAGATAATCATTTGGAAAGGTCCTGTCAATAGTCATGATGATACATTGCTCTTACAGAGCAGAAATTTGTCCAAAAATAGAGTTAGTGCCCTTTGATATGCATGAAATTATTTTCTTATGTCTCTAACTGGGACATAGCAAACAAATAGTGATCTGTGTATGTACTATCTGTTCCATTTACCTTGTGAGGGGTCTCATTTCTGCAGTTGAAAAAAAACAAAACAATATCTTGATTGGTGTAAAAAGCAGTTTTGATCAACATTTTGCTTGGGAGTTACAGCTCTTGGAAATGGTCTTGTATGTGCTCTCTCTCTTACAGTTCTTGTTGCATTTAATAATTTCGGAATGAATTTTATTGTATAAATATTGAAATCTGGACTAGGACTTCGTTTACTGTGCATATTGATATGTTATTTTGTTAATTTTACATTGGCTAGAGTTATTAAGAGAAGGTTGAGATTTCATAAAACATGTTTTACCCAGCCACATTTTTGCACCTGTTCAAAGTCAGGAACCACTAGCCTATGTTAGTCTTGTGTGTTTTTTTGAAATTTGGTTCATTTTTATGTTTCTGAGCATGTCGGCTGAAGAGCCCCTCTGGATGCAGGATTTTCATGATGCGTTCTAAATGCCTATTTGTGGCCATGGGCTGTTTTCTTCTCTTTAGTTGGCTTGTTTTCTCTTTGACACATCCCCTGTTCCCTTCTCCATCATATGATGTGTCCATTTGATACTGTTTGGATCACTGTATGATACTGTGCATGTAATACATGTATATATACATATATACTATTAAGAGATTGTTTTTCATTTATAATTTACAGGACTTAGATATGAGTATAGTCAGAAACATCCAAAAATTTTAGAATGTAAGTAATATCAAACTTTAGAGATATGGCAGCATAATTTGGGGTAGTAATATGAAATGAGTATGTGGTTATCAAATGTTTCTTCTCTTGTTATACAATTGCAAAAAATTTTGCGGTCGTATATTGGTATCCCGTCGTCGTCGTCGTCCGAAGACATTTGGTTTCTGGACAATAACTTTAGTATTAGTAAATAGAAATATATGAAATTTAAACATAAGGTTTATAACCTCAAAAGGAAGGTTGGGATTGATTTTGGGGGTTATGGTCCCAATAATTTAGGAATTAGGGGCCAAAAAAGGGCCCAAATAAGCTTTTTTCTAGTTTCATGACAATAACTTGTGGAACAGTGTATGGATCTCTCTGAAATTATACCACAAGTTTCCATACCACAAAGGGATGGTTAGGATTGGCTTTGGGGGGGTTATGGCTCAAACTGTTTAGGAATTAGGGGCAAAAAAGTTAGAAAAAACAAGGTTGTCCTGGTTAATGGACAATTACTTAAGTACAAATTACAGCGTAAGGGTGTCAAGTATTTCGCCGCTATTCTTTCACAGACTGTAACTAACGTTACCTTTGTAACGTCAACACGTTTATTACGTTATTGTAGTCATACAAGCAAGTAGAGTCATTAACTAAACTTTTGTATGTTTGTAAGAGCAGGGTTCTGGTGTACGGTTGATTCAAACGAATCCCAAAATTTCTGCCAGTGTAAAATATCTCCCGAAAATGAAGGCAAGTCTAACTTTGGTAGTCTATGATAGAAATTCGGAGAAGGGTTATAAGTTGCGTTTGCTCCGTGATGAATTCAATTTACATTTGGAAGTGTCAATTCACAAATTAAAGGACATTACATCAAACTCAGGAGCTAGCGTTCTTAAACCTACGGTGAGTGATTTTTATACGACCGCAAAAAAATTTTGTGGTCGTATATTGGTATGACGTTGGCGTCGTCGTCGTCCGAATACATATTGGTTTTCGCACTCTAACTTTAGTTTAAGTGAATGGATCTTTTTGAAATTTGACCATAAGGTTAAATACCACAAAAGGAAGGTTGGGATTGATTTTGGGGGTTATGGTACCAACAGTTAAGGAATTAGGGGCCAAAAATGAGCATTTTCTAGTTTCCAAACAATAACTGTGGAAAGGTGTATGGATCTCTCTGAAATTATACTACAAGTTTCCATACCACAAAGGGATGGTTAGGATTTGCTTTGGGGGGTTATGGCTCAAACCGTTTAGGAATTAGGGGCAAAAAAGGGGGAAAAACAAGGTTGTCCTGGTTAATGGACAAATACTTTAGTACAAAACATAATTTAAAGCAGTGTAAGGGAGATAAATCAAATACATCATTGAAATTATCTCCCTTACACTGCTTTTAAATTATGTATAAAGTAATGGTTAATGAACAATAAAGATAATCTAAAACAGTGTAAGGGAGGTAATCCAAATACAACGTTTTGGTTACTTCCCTTACATTCCTTAAAATTATGTTTAAAGAAATGCATATTTATAAAGGAAGACCAGTAAAAATATCTGCAAATGTTTTCATCTTTTTTTTTTACAAAAAAATCCATATGAAAGATTTGACACTATATTTTTATTAATTCTATTATAAAATAGATTAAGTTAGCACTATGGTAAATTTAAATGGGTAATTATGGTTGCCAACTCCATTGGAAATTTGAATTGAGATTATGACCATATCTTGAGGGAAAGAATTTTTTTGGGGGAAAAAGGGGGGGGGGGGATAAAAAGAAATTGTGGGGGGCCAATTTTTTCTCATTTCAGATTTCAGAAATTAAAAAGAATTATTCTTCAAATATTATTTTTTTTTCAAATTTCAAATATCGAAAAATTTCAAGAAGTAATCTTTAATTGCACAGTATGGCGCATTAGATTTGTAAAATCTTTGATCACATTTATTTATTTGTTATGCCGAATCTAACAGTGTATTTAGATTTTTAATTTTGGGTCCAGTTTTCAAATTGGTCTACATTAATGTCCAAAGGGTCCAAAATTAAATTTTGTTTGATTTTAGCAAAAATTGAATATATGAGGTTCTTTGATATGCTGAATCTAAACATGTATTTAGATTTTTGATTTTTGGCCCAGTTTTCAAGTTGGTCCAAATTGGGGTCCAAAATTAAACTTTGTTTGATTTCAACAAAAATTGAATATATGGGGTTCTTTGATATGCTGAATCTAACCATGTATTTAGATTTTTTATTTGTGGACCCCGTTATCTAATTGGTTCATATTGAGGTCAAAAGGGTCCAAAATTAAACTTTGTTTGATTTCATCTAAAATTGAATTATTGGGGTTCTTTGATATTCCAAATCTAACCGTGTATTTAGGTTTTTAATTTTGGGTCCTGTTTTTTAAATTGGTCTACATTGAGGTCCAAAGGGTCCAAAATTAAACTTAGTTTGATTTTAACAAAAATTGAATTTTTGGGGTTCTTTGATTTGCTGAATCTAAACATGTGTTTAGATTTTTGATTATGGGCCCAGTTTTCAAGTTGGTCCAAGATAGGGTCCAGTATTTAAACTTTGTTTGATTTCAACAAAAATTGAATGTATGGGGTTCTTTGATATGCTGAATCTTAACATGTATTTAGATTTTTGATTATGGGCCCAGTTTTCAAGTTGGTCCAAATTGGGGTCCAAAATTAAACTTTGTTTGATTTCAACAAAAATTGAATATATGAGGTTCTTTGATATGCTGAATCTAACCATGTATTTAGATTTTTTATTTGTAGGCCCCGCTATCAAATTGGTTCATATTGAGGTCAAAAGGGTCCAAAATTAAAATTTGTTTGATTTCATCGAAAATTGAATTATTGGGGTTCTTTGATATGCCAAATCTAACCGTGTTTTTAGATTTTTAATTTGGGTCCCGTTTTTTAAATTGGTCTTCATTGAGGTCCAAAGGGTCCAAAATTAAACTTAGTTTGATTTTAACAAAAACTGAATTCTTGGGGTTCTTTGATATGCTGAATCTAAACATGTGTCTTGATTTTTGATTATGGGCCCAGTTTTCAAGTTGGTCCAAGTTGGGGTCCAAAATTAAACTTTTTTTGATTTCAACAAAAATTGAATATATGGGGTTCTTTGATATGCTGAATCTAACCATGAATTTAGAATTTTTATTTGTGGGCCCCGCTATCAAATTGGTTCATATTGAGGTCAAAAGGGTCCAAAATTAAACTTTGTTTGATTTCATCAAAAATTGAATTATTGGGGTTCTTTGATATTCCAAATCTAATCGTGTATTTAGATTTTTAATTTTAAGTCCCGTTTTTTAAATTGGTCTACATTAAGGTCCAAAGGGTCCAAAATTAAACTTAGTTTGATTTTAGCAAAAATTGAATTCTTGGGGTTCTTTGATATGCTGAATCTAAACATGTGTTTAGATTTTTGATTATTGGCCCAGTTTTCAAGTTTGTCCAAGTTGGGGTCCAAAATTAAACTTTGTTTGATTTTAACAAAAATTGAATATATGGGGTTCTTTGATATGCTGAATCTAACCATGTATTTTGATTTTGGACATTGGACCATAATAGGTAAATTAAAAAAATTCAAGTTCTTAGACCACATTCTTTCTGTGTCAGAAACCTATGCTGTGTCAAATATTTAATAACAATCCAAATTCAGAGCTGTATCAAGCTTGAATGTTGTGTCCATACTTGCCCCAACTGTTCAGGGTTCGACCTCTGCGGTCGTATCAAGCTGCGCCCCAGCGAAGCATTTTACTTAAATCAAGGTCCAGCAGCACATATTTCAACACTTCCAACAACAAGCAATATTAATCACAACACAAATCAGACACAGGATGCTATTCAAAGCACTTTTGTTAATCACGGAGCAAACGCAACTTATAACCCTTCTCCGAATTTCTATCATAGACTACCAATGCTGTTGAAAACAATATAATCCGCGGAAATGGTCCAACAGCTGTGAAATCAAAAATTGGGTATTTATTATCGGGACCGATGATCAACACAACAGGTAATACAGTTGCAGCTTCAATGATGAATATTTTGGTACAACATAAGAAGGAGGAGATTGATTTAGAGCGTTTTTGGAAACTGGAATCCATGGGAGTTACAGCAGACGATGAGTCAACACAGACAGACATAGATTTTTATGAAACATATCAGAAATCTAGTATTATGTACAAAGATAATCGATATATTGCCAAATTACCGTGGAGAGACGATTTTCAGGACTTACCAACTAACTACAATATAACAAAACTGAAAATTTAATAAACAAGCTCAGTAAGGACCAAGACACGCTAAAAATATACGGAAGTATAATTAAAGATCAAGAAAAGAGTGGATTTGTTGAGAAGGTTAATGAGGAAACCGACAGAAGTACAAGAATTCATTACATTCCACATCATGCTGTTAAAAAAGACTCAACAACAACACCAATACGCATAGTTTACGATTGTAGCTGTAGAGAATCACCAGACAAAGCCAGCTTGAATGATTGTCTCGTGTCAGTTCCACCACTTATAAATGATTTGACAGGAATTATCACAAGATTCAGACTACACAAGTTCGCAGTAACAACGGATATAGAGAAGGCGTTTTTACAGATCCAATTAGACGAAGAAGACCGAGATGTAACAAGATTTCTTTGGTTGAGCGATTCGAGCGACCCTACTAGACCACTAATCACCTATCGTTTCCGAGTAGTTCTTTTCGGAACAACTTGTTCTCCATTCATGTTGAATGCCACAATCATGAAACATCTGAAAAATAATTTGTCAGATACTGCTAGAGCATTGAAGAGAGACCTGTATGTGGACAACGTTTTGTCTAGCTTTCATAGCGAGGAGAATTTACTATCATTTTATAAAGAATCACGTCAACTTTTATCCAAAGGAGGATTTAATCTTAGGTCTTGGACATCAAACAATAGGAAACTGCGCAATATGGCAGAGTCGGAGGACTGCATGGACAAGGACAAAACTATTAAAATTTTGGGACTTCGATGGAACACTGAAACTGATACGATATCGTTTCAAAACAGCATTAAAATTGATAAGGAGAAATATGTTACCAGTCGTCAAGGATATTTGACCCGTTAGGAGTATTAAGCCCAATCACCTTCCGAGCTAAGATTTTGATTCAGACTATATGGGAGAGGAAATTTGACTGGGATGAGCTCTTACCAGATGATATAAAGAGTAAATGGTACGCTTTATTGGAGGACTTACAACAAGCAGTCACACTTGAAATACCGAGATTTTATTTCACCAATGAATCATCTGCAAATATCAACACCAAGGTAAGGAAACTACATGTATTTACCGATGCTAGTCAAAGTGCATACGGAGCATGCGCCTACATTGTGGCCGGAGATGAATCAACGCTGGTTATGGCGAAAAACAGAGTGGCCCCTTTAAAGCAAATAACATTGCCAAGACTTGAATTAATGGGAGCATTAACAGGAGCGAGGCTAGCTAATCTTTTACTGGAAAATTTAGGAGACATGGAAGTAACATTTTGGTCCGATAGCCAAATTGTTTTATCATGGATTGCGTCTATGAAACCAATGAAGAAATTTATTGCTAACCGAGTGACTGAAATCAAAGAACTGGTTAAAAATCAGCGATGGAAATATTGTCCAACGGACATGAACCCTGCAGATTTACAAACTAGAGGCACATCTGCAAATAAATTTCTGAACAACGAATTATGGACACAAGGACCAAAGTGGATTATCAACGAAACTGAATGGCCTACTTGGAACGGAGACAAAATGGCATTGCTAACAAATGCTGAATATGACATTGAGCCAAATTTGTCACTACTCACATCAACACAGAATCAGAATGAAGAATCGGGACTTCACCGGATTATTAATTTAGTTCAGTAGTTTAAGAAGACTTTTGAGAATTACCGCATATATACTAAGATTTATCAAGAATTGTAAACTACAAAAGAATCAAAGGAACACATCAGCCCTTACGGTAGAGGAAATTAACCATTCAACATTATTATGGATCAAGAGCACTCAGGATAATTCATTTCATCACATCAATTCGACTAAAAGTCCGTCAATATTAAAACAGTTGAAACTTTATAAAGACGATCAGAACATTTGGAGATGCGGAGGCAGAATTAACAATGCACCTTTGAGCGAAACCACTAAATTTCCATATTTGTTGCCAACAAAACATAGTTTCACAACTTTGGTTATAAAAGATGCACATGTGAAACAACTTCACGGAGGAGTAACTAGTACAGTGACTTTATTACGTCAGACATATTGGATTTCGAGAATTCGTCAATGCGTCAATGCAGTATTACGCAAATGTGTCACTTGCCGTAAAGTTATAGGGAAGGCTTATCAGAAACCGGACCAGCCACCACTACCAGTAGATAGAGTTCAAGATACATTTCCATTTACCGTGACAGGCGTAGACTTTGCAGGACCACTTTATGTAAAAGATTCCGACAACTCTAGAGCTAAAGTTTACATCTGTTTATTTACTTGCGCCTCTACTAGAGCCGTACATTTAGAGATCGTTTCAAACTTGACAGAGGAGTCTTTTATTTTAGCCTTCAGAAGATTTGTAAGTCGTAGATCGTTACCAAAAACAATGATTTCAGACAATGCATCAACTTACATAGCCGCCAGTAATGAAATTCAACGGCTAACGAATTCGCAATCTTTATTAGAAAAAATACAAGATCAAGGAACAGAATGGAAATTTATTCCAAAAGGAGCACCTTGGTACGGAGGATTCTGGGAGCGTATGATCGGACTAACCAAAACAACTTTAAAGAAAGTAATAGGGAGTAAATGTATACGCATGGAAACATTACAGACAGTCATCACTGAGATTGAATCTACATTGAACGACAGACCAATCACGTACGTGTCATCAGATGTCAACGAACCTGAACCATTGACACCTTCTCATCTTCTTTGTGGCCGGAGAATAAGATGTTTACTGTATCCGTCTACAAACATGAACAATTTGATTAATTTTGAACCAAGTACACATAACAACTTGAATCAACGTCTACAGGATCAGCACAACATTATTCAACATTTTCGACGAAGATGGAAAAATGAATATCTTACATCATTAAGGGAATACCACACGACTTTAGGACACAATAATCAGACTATCAAAGTTGGTGATGTGGTTCAAATACATGAAGATTCGCCTAGAATTAATTGGAAGCTAGCCATTGTAGATGAACTATTGGTTGGCAAGGATGGACTCATTAGAGCAGTGAATTTGCGTACAAACAATGGACATACAAATCGTCCAATTTCAAAGTTATACCCGATAGAGGTTTCTTGCGATTTGTTTCAATCAACACTTGACACCAAAGAACATAAATCGAAGAAGGACGCCAGGGAAAAGATTCGCCAGTTGATGTTTTAATTTTATACTTATACAGACTTTAATTTTTCAAATGATTTTTATTTTCTACATACATTGACTTTAAGTTAAACTGTGAATATTTGCGATATCTATGTATTTATTAAGAATTTTTATCATTTTCACTTCTCGGCGCCCCCAGTGTCAAGTATTTTGCCGCTATTCTTTCACGGACTGTAACTAACGTTACCTTTGTAACGTCAACACGTTTATTACGTTATTGTAGTCATACAAGCAAGTAGAGTCATTAAAAGCAATTAGAACTGTTCACACGTATTCTATTTACACAAGCGAAGTACTAACCAACTAAACCCAAACAAAGGGAGGTAATTCAAACACAACTTTGAATTACCTCCCTTACACTGCTTTTAAATTATGTATAAAGAATTTTTGTATTGTCTTGAGGTGATTAGCTGTCAATTCATTTTTAGAAGTTACTATTTAAATAATCTTAAAAATGCTGATTAAGGTAAATTCATTTTAGCTTATTATTATGTATGTCATTTTCTATTTTAAAACTTTTATGATGTATTTAAATGGGTTATTATGGTTACAAACTCCATTGGAAATTTGAATTGAAATTATGACCATGACTGAGGGAAAGAATTTTTTTTTGGAAAAGGGGGGATTGAAAAAAATGGGGGGGTGGGGGTAAAAAAAATTGGTGGTGGGGGTGGGGGGGCTGGACAATTTTTTCTCCTCAAGATTTCAGAAGTCAAAAACAAAATCCTTCAAATTTTGGTCAATTCGCAACAGCATAGTGTATTGCACAAAAGCAACTAATTGAATATACAATGTAAACTCAAATCATATAGCCAATTATAAGTTCTTTGACTACAGTTATTCTGTGTCAGAAACCTATTATGTGTCAAATATTGAATTACAATCCAAATTCAGATCTGTATCAAGCGCGAATATTGTGTCCATATTTGCCCCAACTGTTCAGGGTTGGACCTCTGTGGTTGTATCCAGCTGTGCTCGGCAAAGCAATTTATTGTACATGCATCTTAAGTTAAAAGCTCTCCATTATTGGAAATTTAAAAAACTAACAGGGAAAACTGTAAAATTACTATTACACAATAAAGGCATCAGTCGTTTACTGGTGTTCAAGTATCATAAGTCTCCTTGGAAGAGACAAATCAAGGTTACAACCAAAAAAAGTTATGGAATAGAATGATCTTCAAAAGGAAGGATACCAGACACATCAACAGGGTTAGAGTCTCCTGTCATCCATGCATCACTGTCATGCAAATTCACACTCAGCACATCAATTCAGAAAAAAAAAGTATGTTTGTTTGTATTCATTGGATTTTATGTCTGTTCCTATAAATACATGTTTGACAGTTTCTATATAAATATGTAGATGTGACATGGTAGCCAATAGGACAACTATTAAACAGAGCAAAATTTAAGAGAATATATATTCACAATACACAACCAATCAGAAATATTCACTTTTAAGAAGATTATCAATTTGAAAAACTTTGTCAAATACATCCATATTTTCTTTAACCATTGATATATCATTACCATAATAGATTTTAATTACATAGTCTGGACAGCTATTAAAATATACATTCAAATTTACATGATAGCAAGTATAAAGCCTTTGCAGGATGGGGCACATGGTAATGAAATATTCCTTCATAGGTCATAAAGACAATAAATTTGGTTATTTAAAAGTTTTGTTCGTTGATGTTTATACTGTTTTATTTCTTCTTCAGATTACTATAAAGTAGACGACATGATTGGAAATAGTCAAATTAGGAAATCTGATCAAGAAGCTTGGAAGAAAGCCAGTTTGATGCGAAAATAAATTATATGTACTTTTAGATATTTTGTAACTATACATCAATTTTGTAATTATGAATAATAAACTTATCTTAATATATCTTTTATAAAAGTACAATCTTTTTATCTGTTTATATAGAAAGCTTTTATATGGGTTTAAAGGAATAGTAGATTTTTGACATCTTTATCTTGATAGATTTGTCATGGTTAGGGATATTACAATAAAAAATCACTAATGATACCAGGCACTTGCAATTGAGTAACCTATGCACTCATTTCTAGTTCAGACCCAGTTGTGGGGCTCAAATCAAAACCATTGGAATGCCATATCAATAACAAACATGGAGGGTATTGAAATTGTTTGTCAAAACAGATAAAGGAAGGATCATCCAGTTAAGTGCAGATCAATTCAACCATTCAGTAGCTTGCTATTTGGTACAAGCTTTCCTCATTCAACATTGATTTTGGCCATATGGTGACCTGTAGTTGTTTACATTCTTGTCCTTCCATCTTGGTGGATAGTTGGCTAGTTGGCTCTCATGCTTCATTTCCTTATTTTTATATTCACTGTAACATTTGGAGTTCACTTGTTGAAAAATGTACTCAACCTACTGTTGTGTGACAGTAACCTGCCATAGATATTGCTACTTTATGAGTTTGTCTATAAAAAGCATGCAGAGTATTGGTGACTATGTTGAAAGAATCTATTCCATGAACTTGAGATAAAGGATACAACAGGTACAGTTAAGTCTGCCTCATATCTTGACTTACATCTAGAAATTGACAATGAACTTGAACTTATGAAGGCCAGTTGAAAACAAAGCTTTAGGACAAAATAGATGATTTTCGACTTCCAAATTGTGAACTTTCCATTTCTATGTAGCAACATTCCAGCAGCGCCTGCATTCCGAGTATGTATCTCCCAGTTGATACCTTATTCCAGGGCTTGTATTTCCTATCATGATTTCCACGATAGAGGGTTGCTGCTCACAAGGAAGCTAGAACCAAGAGTTCCAAATGGTGAAGTTGAAGTCATCCCTTTGAAAGTTTTATGGACGCCATCACAAATTGATTGACCGTTATGGAATGTCCGTTTCACAGATGGTAACGGATATATTCCTTATGTTGTACATACAATCCCGTATCCTTAACCCTAATGTGACCTACCTAATTAAACTCATTACTGGGTTTGTAATAACATGAGCAACTGGACGGGTGCCACATATGGAGCAGGATCTGCTTACCCTTCCGGAGCACCTGAGATCACACCAGGTTTTTGGTGCACTTCGTGTTGTTCGTCCTTACTTTTCTATGTTGTGTTTTGTGTACTATTGTTTGTCTATTGGTCTTTTTGTTTTCAGCCATGTCGTTGTCTGTTTATTTTTGTCTCGCCTTGACAGAGTCAAAAAGCGAGACATAGGTATGCTGTTTCCGGCAGCGGTGCGTCAACAATGTATTAGTTTGTGATTAGGTCTAGTTCATGCTGAACCACTAGTGGTAGGTCAATGATATTTGGTATGCAGTTGTATTAACATTGGCACATCTCATTACCATGGAGATTATTTTGGCCCCACCCCCTCAGTCAAGGTCTATTGACTTTGAAACTTTGCTTAGTTTTCATGTATTAGTTTGTGATTAGGTCAGTATATGGGGAACCACTAGTGGTAGGTCAATGATATTTGGTATGCAGTTGTATAAGCATTGGAATATCTCATTTCCATGGAGATTATTTGGCCCCGCCTCCTCATTCATGGTCTATTGACTTTGAAACTTTTGCTTAGTTTTCATGTATTAGTTTGTGATTAGGTCAGTTTAAGGGGAACTGTTAGTGGAGGTCAATGATAATTGGTATGCAGTTGTAAAAGCATTAGCACATCTCATTTCAATGGAGACTATTTGGTCCATACCCCTCAGTAATGGTCTATTGACTTTGAAACTTTTACTTAGTTTACATGTATTCGTTTGTGATTAGGTCAGTTTAAGATGAACCACTAATGTTAAGTCAATGATATTCGGTATGCAAATGTATTGGCATTTGCAAGTTTCATTTCCATGGAGCATACATGTGATGGACTGTGAAACTCAGATCAGGAGATTAGGACTCAGATCAGGAGGTTTTTAATGGACATAAATTTTGTTGTAAATGTAACCGTTTGCTGTAAAAATTGTCTTTTAAAGTGTGTTTTCTTCAACTTTCCATCCCATGTATTATGTTTATAGTACCCTTGTACTTATAAAGTTTCTCTATCTTTATATTCTACATGTTCAATCTAACATTTTTTTTTTAGTATGTTCTTTAAATTTTTTACTTCATATCTTTTATATCTTTATTCTATAGAACAATCATTGCAATCAGAACATGTGTTTACATCTGCAAATAGATTTTATTTGCATACTCAGAAAATCTTTACTGCTGTATCACAAGGGTCATAGTTATTATATAAATTTTAATTTAAGCCTTGAAAGGAAGTATAGAACCCTCAAATAATTTTCAAATTATTATTTTTTTATTTGTCCTAAGACATTTAAAATCATTTAATTACCATCCTTTTATAATTATTTGTTCAATTTATATTTTATTTATATTCTTTTAAAAATTTTCATTATTTAAAGGAAAGTAACTTAAAACAGGATAAATCAAGGGAAGTAACCCCAATAAATACACAAAGTTTTTATTACACAACGGCAGTTAGCCTGAGGTAAAAATCGTTGATTACCAGTATGTTTGACAGCCAAGCTGACAAGTGAAGCCATATAATTATGCATGTTAATTGATTTACAGGTAAAATATAACTTCAGGTAATGTCAGTTACACCAGATGCCTGAGATGATATGTTGGGCAGTTTTCATTCATGAAAAATTTCATACACGGATTTTTTTTCTCTTCAACGGGAGGTCGGGAGGAGACCCCTGAAAACGGGATTATTGTACTCCCGTCGGGAGGTTCACATGTATGATGGAGATTATATAACCCCGCCCCCTAATTATGGTTCATTGACTTTGAAACTTTTACATAGTTTACAAGTTAATGTTTGTGTTTAGGTTTGTTTAAAGGGAACGACTTATGAAAAGTCAATGGTATTTGGTTTGCAGTTGTATTAGCATTGGCACATCTCATTTCCATGGAGATTGTTTAGCCCTGTACCTTCAGGCATGGTTCATTGACTTTGAATATTTGCATAACTTACATGTTAAAGTATTGCTATTTTAATTTCAAAATTTGTATTATCAAAATAACAAATAAGCGAGATATATCTCTGTGTTAACAGTTTATTGACATATGAGTTTGAATGTCCCTCTGGTATCTTTTGCCCCTCTGAATTATTTTTTGAGAAAAAAATAGGTTCCAAAGGTACAATCTACAATAATAAACCATACAACACCTTGGCCCAAGAAGACAAACACAGATAAAAGCCACAAAACACTGTATAGAATCTTCCTAGACATTATTAAAGTAGTAACCTTGTTTTGAGTGAACTCAGAACTCTATATAGATATTAAAGCAGTTCCTGTGTCTTTAATGACAATCTTATTTCTCTTAAAATGTAAAATTCTGATAATTAGCTGTATTTGGTGTGCACAATGGAAAAAAAGAGGAGGGTTATGCAATTGTATGTAAAAGTGAAAAAAAAGGAGAGTTATTATTTTTTTCAGGTCGTGTGCCATTAATCTACTTAATTACTTTTTATTACCTGTCATTAGTTGTCATAAAACCATTAAAGCTGTAACCGAGCGTAATTACAAATTAGCCAATAATTGAAAAGATTTAAGAAACGTCTTAGTTACAAAACAACGTAGTTACGAATCGACCAGGTACGAAACGACCAGGTTACGAAACGACATGCATTCGAAAATTGATGTTTTGTTATGCCCCACAGCTAGGCAAAGGGGGCATTAAGTGTTACCCTTAACATTCTGTTCATTCCATTTTCATTGCAAAGTTAAGCGCGGGTATTTGTGTCCTCGGATACATTATTTTATTTCTCCTAAAGTTTAGTTATCAGACGACCCTAATTGTCATTTTTTTATTAAATATAACCCAGGCCTAGTTGTATTTGTGATATAGATTTTAATGATTGTTCAAATTCTTCCCTAAGGCATCACATCACCAATTAGGATTGTGTTCAGCTGCTTCATCTAAATACATACACTGAAATATAGTTCCAATTGGTTTCAGGTCTATGCTACTAAGTTCAATTGGACTGATTAAAGCTGTTATACTCCATAATGTATGTCATCAGTCTGGTCACTTTCTTGCCAATTTGATGACTATAGTAAAGTTACTGTACTGATAAAATACCAGAGCGATAGGCATCTGTCATGACCAAAGAACAATTAAAACAAATTTGGTGTTTTAACTGGAAATTCCCTGTTACAGTATAACGCTAATCTTAGTTGACAAACTACCTCTTTTAGCATGCTTATTGCACAGTTCAAAACACGACTCCTGATCTCCATATTATGTAAGATGTTTCACTTACAAATGATAGATGTAATTATTTACTTATTACTTTTAAAACTTACTACATATAATTCTAATGTTCATTTTGTTTCAAAGATGGACGATTAAGGACAAGTGGAATTATTTTTTTCAAAAATGATTGAATGAAAAAAAAAGTAACTATGATATATTTGACTTGTTAATAAGTGCTTTAATGAACTATAATTATCAATGATTCACTTGAAATTGCATAATTTAAGCAAACTGTAATAAAATTTATTTTTTTATTCCCCATAATATTGTTTCCAACAACAATATGAGGTATTTGAATACAAGACATGTATTTTTTCAATAAAGCATTCCTCATTCTAACCAACTACCTTTCAAGTATTCCTCATTCCAACTAACTACCTTACAAATATTTCTCATTCCAACCATATAAAAATTATTGATGGTAAATGTTTCGGGGGGAAAAAATGCAAACCCTATTGCACCTAATCAAATTGAAATATTATCAGAATTTGCTTTACAAATGATAAAAAGTTCTCAATCTTAGGTTTATTGAAACGAAAAACTTCCCTTTAGTTGTCACCCTACAACCATTTATCTTAAATTTGAATTTAAATTTTAAAAGGAGGGCCATATGGGTTATTGCCATCATTTATGTCATAGTCCTT